CCTGACAAGATACGGCATCCTCAATGTTACAGTGCAAGCCACAGGGTCTGTGCGTTTCATGTTAGCCAAGCAATAATGAACCACCCATACAAATTGATGGGTTATACCACCAAAAAAATGGTACATCTGGAGATGGTGGATCCTACAGTATTGCTTTGCGAACGTGAATTTATCCAAATAAAACAAAAAAAACTGCTATTGTAACCCTTCACAATGACCAACCAACCTTGGACCAACCTTGATCATCTGCCCTTTTCATCCCATACCATCTGCGGCACTGTGAAGACTCCGAACTCGGGATTCTTGGTGGCTGGCTTCTCAGGTTCTTGGGGAAGAACTGCACCTTGGTCACGCATTGCTTTATGTAAAGATGTTCAAAGTAACCAAACATGATGATCTTTTGGAACAAATCTTGGGATATACCTGATGATATTTAATATTTTGGAAACATCTTGTGATATACCAGCAAATTGGTGATTCGCACATGTTTAAGTCAAGCAAACGCTGATGTTATGGAATATTATGACTTACAAAAAACAAAAGTTTAATACGTCTAAGTCATACAAGATCATACAGGTAACTCATCATGATATTAGCTCCCGTATGTCACAGGTTCTTGCGACACTGCGGCGTCAGGAATTTGTTGGCAAACACTAGGATTGCAAATCTGTAAATTACTCTGAAACTATTGGCCATACGCAGTGCTTTGACTTTAGGCTTTCAGGATTTAAGGTGTGTTTTACGGTTTAGAGTTTTAAGCTTTCTGGTTTTAGGGTCTCCGGGATTGTGTAGTGTTTGAAACCGCTGGCCCCGCAGGGATTTGAGCATGTCAAAGGATATCAGCCAACATGAGATGATATTCCGTAAGAATGCTGGGGGAAACATGGAAAATACGGATGTTGGAACATGAACATCATCCAACCATTGGCTGGACCACTACCAACATCGATCTTGGTTGGTTTGGTCGATGATTGAAACTGCTGTTACGCAGGCACCTTGAACTCCTCACTTCACGCCTTGTTTTCCGTCTCGGACTGGCGATCTGTTTGAGCTAAAAAAGCAGCTATATGGATCGGCTTATGTCTCAGCCTGAAATTGGAAATGAATGCACAGGTGAAAAACTGCATGTTTCATTGATGCACAAATGGAAAATGAAGGAATGGAAATCTGCACTCCTCCTTTGGAGAGACGTCAGGCCCTCCAAAATTTCAAGAACTCTCAGACTCAAGCTGCTTTTCTGTCTAGTTGGTTTGGCCTGCGTCGAGGTCCTGACAAGCTTGGCACGCTCTGATGGCTCTTTGAGAATGACGGCGTGGACATCTGTCATCCACATGATATGATCCTCCCCAATGATCAACCCACAAAGGAACTCCAGGAGGGGGTCTTCCACGAGTCTGCAGAGAAATCGCTCTGCACATCCAGCACCATCCTGACTCCCTATGTGATCCAGTTTGAGGAGATGACAAATAGTGGCAGTCAGATCGAAAATGATAAACACCGCCAAATCTCGTGGTCAACACCTGAAAAAGGGGCTGACTGTCTTCATCACTTCGTTCATAATTGTAAAACCTGTCGGGATCTCGTTGGGCTTCATCATATAGAATCGCTTCTTCTTCAGCAATTCTGAGCAACTCGCCTTCGATGTCCACTTCGGGGATGTGTCGTTCATCCAGTGGACGATATGGACGCTCCTCAGAAGATTCGCTGGATGGGTCTTCAAACCTTGACGGCGACTGGGGCAATGTCGCTCCCTGCCCTTCAGTGCTTGGTGGAGGTCGCCGGGGAGATAGTTGATCTCCCCTTACCATACCCACCGCACCAGTGCTTGGTGGAGGTCGCCGGGGAGATGTTTGATCTCCCCTTACCATGCCCACCGCACTAGGTGGGAGGCGTACGGGTTGTTGCCACTCCTCCGCAACCCCCCGGCTCTCACCACCTTTTCCTTTTCCTTTTCTTTCTGCAACAAGGCCTTGATTGGCCGATCCAGCCTGACTTCGCACTCTGGTTCTCAGCCTCTCTGTCCAAGCCTTCCACAAGCATTGAATCGCCAACGTAGCCCCGATCACCATCACGGTGAATACGGCCATCATCATGTTGAATTCCATCATTCCATCTTGATCTGATTCCTCCTCTTCTTCTCCTTTCGCTACTGACAAAACTGCTGCAAGTGTCAGCAGCTTCAAAGCCACAGCTGCCTTCTCAAGGTCAGCTCCAGCTCCTTCTCTCAACCTCAAAGCCACAGCTGCCTTCTCAAGGTCAGCTCCAGCTCCCTCTCCCAACCTTGAAGCCACAGCTGCCTTCTCAAGGTCAGCTCCAGCTCCCTCTCTCAACCTTGAAGCCACAGCTGCCTTCTCAAGGTCAGCTCCAGCTCCCTCTCTCAACCTTGAAGCCACAGCTGCCTTCTCAAGGTCAGCTCCAGCTCCCTCTCTCAACCTTGGGACGCTCTCGTCCACGTTCTTCTCTTCTTCCTCCTTTTCAGTGCTTGGAACTTCAAACATGTTCATTTCTTCTCTCAAAACCTTGATCCGCTCTGACGACAGAGGCTTCGTGCCGATATCCGCCGTCATCTTGTTTCCTGGTTGATGTTGAATCGACCAATTCCCTTGGTTGATCGACTGTCTCGCAGCTGCTGCTCGAAGACGGAGATGTCTGGTTCTCCATGATCCGCATCTGAAGAGAGGATTGAAAGGGCAGCTTGAGAGTCTGTCCACGATTTTCGGTGGAGCTCTCCATAAAGCTCATCAGCTATCGCTCCTATTGACTCCCCAGCTACCATGCTCTCCATAATTTCCATCATCTCTGCCTCTGCCGTCGACAGGGTGATGAAACTCTGCCTTCCGCTCCTCCAAAAAACCAAACATCCAGCAACCTTCACCAAAAAGGCTCCATGGCTCACCTCACCTTCTGGTGCAAAACTGGCGTCTGAAAAAGCCTCAATCACGACCGGATCTTGACCTGCTGCATCAAAACGCAGGCCCAACTTCCATGTCTTCTTGAGGTATCCTTTGATCTGTTGGTAGATTTGAAGAACCTTTTGAGGGGCCTTTGTGACATTGGACCCCATCCTCGAAACTGCATACATCAAATCAGCTCTGGTGCGCGTCACAAGCCACAGCATCTCTCCCGTGGCCTTCTGTGCAGCCTTGATCAAGTCGGGGGTCTTTTTCTCCTCCTCTGCAAACTGACTCTGATCCTTGGTGATGGGGATCTTTCGCTCCAAAACTTCATCCTCATCTTGGGCTAGGAGCTCCTTGATGTAGGACTGCTGGCCGATGTACCAAATGTCACGGCCCTTCTCTTGGTCAAAAACCTTTGATATTTCCACCCCCAAGAACCTGATTGGTTTGACTCCCACCTGATCTGGTTCAGATGTGGTCCACAGCTTTCTGATGCTCGTCATGACCGCCTCAACGACATCATCACTTCCGGTCACAAAGATGTCGTCAACGTAGGTCATCAACAGCCCCTTCATCAATGGGACTGTCTCGGAATCCTGACCCTCCTCCTCAATGCGCCAGAGATTGGGTTCAGAGTCCAATGGGATCAGCCTCAATGTGAGATCTCGTTCTCCTTCTTGGACATGAACCTTCATGTGGTGAAGGCCCTCATCGCGGCAGTCGCCCCAAAGCCGTGGGGATCTGCGGAGCCCATAGACAGCTCGCTTCGGAAGGTAGTATGTGCCTGCCTTCATGTATCGTTTCTCCAAAAGCAGCGGTGGAGGTTTCACCAGCAACAAACTGGGCTGGTCTTGTGGATCCATACTGGCATTCAAAAAGGCAGTCTTGATGTCAACGGTCCCGGCCGCCCACTGATGTTTTGAGGCCGTGACCACCAAAAGTCGTAGTGCTGATGCATCAGCGCCAGAGCTAAAGGTGTTCTCACCTTCTTTCACCTGTTCAAAATTGCCGCAAATGACCCATCGAATCTTGTTGCGGCCACCTTTCTTTCCAGGCTTTTTCGTGCACACCAGCTTGGACGGCAAAAACTCAACCTGCATGCCTTTCTCTTCAGCCTCCTTGAGAAGGGCCTCCAGCTTTTCACCACTCACTTCCTCCATCGCCCCTTTTTCTTCAAGAAGTGAACTCACCTCTGCATCTATAGCAGGAAGCCATTCCTGCCACTTCTTGGACACTTCCTGCAGTGAAATGATGTTGGTCTGCAAGATCTCGTCGTCCTCATTGACTTCCTGTGAGTTCAGGATCTTCTTGAGAGACGCCAAGATTTCTATCTCTTCTGTGATCAACTCTTGATCATCTTCCAGCATCATTTTCATCTCCTCCTCCACTACCTTTGTAAACTGCATCCGCATCTTTGCGACTTTGGCCGCTTCCTCCTCTTCATCATTCTCAGGTTCTTCCATCTGAAGCCTTCTAACCGTGGTCTTTCCTCTCAATCTCCTCCTCTTTGTCAGCGCATCCAAAACTTCTCGCTCTACTGCAAGCCAGACACCTTCATCTGGTCGTTCCAAAGCTTTTCTCATGAAACACCGTGTGACTCGTGGTGCCTCATCTCCAGCCTTGATCCAGTGTCCATTCTCCTCTGGCGCTGGACCCAAATATTTTGAAACCTCAACTGTTGGCTCAAACGCCTGCTTCTTCCATCGTCTCCTCCTCACCAAAACATCTTGCAGAAACAATGGGAAGTCAGGAACCTTGTCCAGCCTTTGGCATCTGTAAACCTCATTCAAATATCGCAATGCCCAGGGCCACCATTGCGACCCAACTCCAGCATGCATCAGGATCCTTCTGATCTGGTTTTTCACTGACTTCACCGTGGCTTCAGCTCTTCCATGGGCTCTTGGATCGTCTCCAGACGTTCTCGTGAGAAGGATGCCTCTCGCCTTCGTCCATGTCTCAAAGCTTCCAAGGAATTCATGGCCTCTGTCTGAGTGAATCCTTGATACTTGGTATCCATCCATTTTCAACTTGAGGATCATCTCCATAGCCGCCCTCGTCACCTCTTTGGCCTTTTTGGATCGCATGGGAAGTGCCATCTTGAAGACTCGCATCTCAAGCTCTTCTTTTGGATCCGGCTCTTCCGGACCTTCGACCTTTTCCTCCTCCTCCTCCTGAGCCTCAACTGGCTGTTCAGCATCAGCGGGTGGAGGTCGCCGGGGAGATAGTTGATCCCCCCTTACCATGCACACCACGCTGGGCGGGAGGCGTTCGGGTTGTTGCCACTCCTCCGCAACCCCCCGGCACTCACCGCCATCATCCTGTTCCTCCTCCCTTTTTTCCTCTGCCAGCTCCTCAGCTTCCGCAGGTGGAGGTCGCCGGGGAGATGATTGATCTCCCCTTACCATGCCCACCGCGTTGGGCGGGAGGCGTTCGGGTTGTTGCCACTCCTCCGCAACCCCCCGGCACTCACCGCCGTCATCCTGTAAAGCCTCGAGAGCTGGAGCTTCTTCTAACCCTCCTTCTTCCTCCTGTTGAGCTTCCATCTTTGTCGATCCTTTTGGCACCATATAGGTGTAAGAGCCAGCAAGAAAGTATCGGCACTTCCATCCTCCAACATCACTCGCAGGAAATAGAGGACCGCAAGTATCCAATGCCAAAACTCCTGCCTGTGGATGTTTGACTTTCCTGTGTGGGAAATTCTGTTGTGATGCCCTTTGACAAACTGCACAATCACGTCGATAGGGCACATGCCCAAATGCAACATGTTCTTCAAACGTCAAGGCCTTCAACTGAGGTGTTTGTTTGAAAACCTCTTTGACTGTTGCGGCACCAACTGCATCCATCAACCCCGGAGCCCACCTCTCCAGTTGCTTGGAACTCTTGACCTCTTGATCACGTTGAAGTGGTCTTTCATAGTCTTCCATGCACAGGTCAAAGGTGGTGCCAAGGGTCGTTGGTTTTGGTGCCAAACCTCCAAGATTCCCTTGATTGAAGGTCACCTCATTGAGCTTGAACTCATCTCGGATCCCTTTCCATTCTTTGGTGTCCCAAAATGAGACTGCCTCTGGTTCATAGGACTTTGGTGAAGCTGGCTGCTCAAGCACCAGATGTACAGGGTCAACTTTCATCTGCGCTCGTCTGGTGTACTCGGCAACCATGAACAAAAACAGCATGCGCCACATCAACACATCATCCTCTCGCAACATCGCTTCTTCTTTTGAAGTGATCCAGGGTGCTCCAAATTCACCTCCATCCCAACACCTAATTGGCCTCGGAGCATCAGGCTGGCCAGGTACTGGACGATGTCGCAAAACGCTTCGGCTCCTGCAGTTGGGGCCACCAATCACTGAAAGGATCTTTCCTTCTACTGCTGCCCGCAACAGCGCAGCATAAGGGCCATTCCCTTTCAAAAGGTCATGTGATGGCCCGTGCTTGATGTCAATTTCCAACAGTCGCTGGTGGGGCCCACCTTGGCCCTTGATTGATCTCTTCAGAGTATAGCCTTCTTCATCTCCTGAAAACAAGTGCAAAGCAAATCCTCCTTGTCTCAAAGTTCTGCGATGCCTTCGATTGACAGGAAGAAGGTTCCAGTCGGAAGGTTCGACCACCAGCTGACTTTTCAACCATTCAGGAAGCTGTGACAAAACTGGATGTACTGCAACCAAACGTTTCATCCACTCCATCTCCCCCTCAAAGCCCAAGCGACTGATCGAAACTCCTCCTTTTGCATCTTCTATCTCTGAAATCAACTCCAGCGCCAACTTCCTAGAAATTTGGGGACATCCTCCATGACTTTCAACCTTCAAAGGACCATGTCGTGGGTGGTGAACTTGCAGACCATCTTTTGACCAGTTCACCTCGCATCCCAAAACCTGAATCAGCGTGCCCATTGGAACTATTGGCTCTACTTCTTCATCATCCGTCACCATTGAGCCGGATGTCGTCATCTTCAGCTGAACACATCTCCCATCTGCTAAGGTGACCTCAACACTTCTCATGTTGGTCTCGGCCTCCTCGCTCCTCAATGGTCGAAAAGGGTGTGTTGCACCACTATCAATGAGACCCTTCGTCAGGTCTCTTGTGATTCGGCCAAGCTTGAAAACCTTGAGAGAGTTCAGCTGAGCCTGCAATCTTGAAAGAACTTCACTTCGATTCTCCTCCTCCTTCACAGGGGCATTGGATGAAGTAGAAGTTGATGGTCCTGACTTGGCTGTCAGGGATCGGAGCATCTTGTTGGCTTCCTCAATAAGCCCTTTCATAGTTTCCGTTTCACTGCTTGGATCCTCAGCATTCTTGGATCCTTGGCCCAAGTCATTTTCAGCCTTCACCATCTTCTGCTTCGGTGGATACTCACTCAAACTTTTCCTCGGACACTCTGGTGCCATGTGTTCTGTGGATCCGCATGTATAACATCTCCTCTTGCCATCCTTCTCACTGTGGGAAAAACGGCACTCCTTTCCCTTCCGACAGCCTTCTGTTGTCAGAAAAAATCTGCACTTTGCCCGAGGCTTCTCAGTCTTTTCCTCCTCAGGACTTCGATCTTTTCCTTTACCTTTCCCTTTTGCTGCATCTTCTTTTTCTGTCTCTACGGACTTGAGCTTGATCTCGCCTTTTGGAGCTGGAGTCATTGGCTTTTTCTCCATCTGCGAAATCTGCTCACATTCTGACAAAAGATGCATGGCAAACTGCGTCACGCTCTCCAGGGTCGGCACTGTGTCGATCCCCAGTCCGTGTCTGGCTAGTGACACTCTGAACTGGAGTTCTCGATTGGCTTCCAACACCTTTCTTGTCATCCTCAGCAACCCTCGTACCAGCAATGTCGGATCTGGCATCGTGGCTCCAATTTCAGTGGCTCTTTGACGCCATCGAAGCCACCGCCTCAATGCGGAGGGTGCCTCACTGACATTCGCTACTTCTGTTGGCTCCTCCAAATTCTTCAGGAGGTTCTGCTTCTCGGTAATCCCTCCAGGACAATAAGTCACATACAAATGTGTCACTATTGCAAAAACTGTGAGTTTTCTGCTCGAGACCAATTCCTCTCGAACCTGCTCTGGTATCGACTGGAGCATCATGGTGGCCACACGCCTCTCCAGCCTCTGCCACTTTTCCTGCATCAATGCCGCAGGTTGTTCACTTCCATGTTGAAGACGTTCCAATGGTGACAACAGCATGTGCGACTGATACCACTGTTCAGCCTCTGCCACCATCGTTTTCCACCACGTTTCTGCTGTAGCTGCCAAGTCTGAAATCACCGGTGCGATAAGCAGCAGCCAGTCGCTCAACTGAAGTGGAGCTTGCGTCGAACTCCAAACTGGCAGCTGGGGAAGCTCATGCGTCCCTGACCTCACTACCTCCACCCCTCGGATGGTTCCACTTTCTTCTTTGTCTTCATGCAACTTTCGATGCATCTCTTTCATATTCTCCATCATCAACGACATGAATTCCATGGACTTCTCAGCAAACCCAGTTGCACCTTGAGCTGCATGAAGGTCTGGCTTTGGCAAAGAAGTGGGTCCTGGCAGCGGAGTCTTCCCAGAATCCTCAACGTTTCCTTGCCTTTCTTTTGGGGATCTCACAGCCTCCTTTTGGGCTTCTGGTGGTCTCACAGCCTCCTGTGGGGCTTCTGGTGGTCTCGCAGCCTCCTGTGGGGCTTCTGGTGGTCTCGCAGCCTCCTTTGAGTCTTCAAACTTGTGACTTCCATTTGGAGTGGAAAAAGACAGCTCTACTTCTGGCTTGACAATCCCAGCCTCCAACATCTGAACCCTTTTCGTCAACTCTTCATTTCGATCTACTAACTCTTTCATGTAAGACCGGAGAGTTGCAAGCTCAGTGGATTCTCTGGTCATCCTAGCTTCTTCCTGCTCCAAAAAAGAAGGTCTCCTTGGAAAAAACGTTCTTTGTGCGTCTTGATACAACCACGGTGCCCTACTGTGAAGGAGCTCCATCTGTTTCACTTGTTCTTCTGTGAACAATGGTTGAAAAACTTCTGGAGATCCTACTGGTTGACTGTGAGGAGTCTGAACAGCAGTCCAAACACCACTTTCTCTTCCTCCCCCTGTGTCACCAACTGAACGCCTGTTGGCCTCTTCTTTCCGACGTCCTTCTATCGTCGCCGGAGTTCTCACAGTTCCTGGCTGACTATCACCTGGATTGGCTTGGCCAGGGGCGGAGGCAGTTGATCCTGGTCTGGCTGGGGTGATGGCAGCAGGTGAAGTCTTGGGGTGGTCTTGGCTAGCCCTATCGCTCCTACTTTCTATTTGCGCAGGCGACGACCTTTCTTTTGGGGCATCCTCTAACCTCAACCTTTCTTCCTTTGACTCTTGTCCTACTGTCTCCTCACCTTTGGCATCTTCCAGGGGCAACTCCTGACTTTCTTTTGCTTCCCTTTCAAGCCTTTCTTGCGCCTTTTTCATCTCTTCCATACCTTGTTGCAACTCCTGATTAGTTGCTCTCCTTCGTTGCATTTGCATGGCAAGCCCTTGGGCTCATAACCTGCTGTTACGCAGGCACCTTGAACTCCTCACTTCACGCCTTGTTTTCCGTCTCGGACTGGCGATCTGTTTGAGCTAAAAAAGCAGCTATATGGATCGGCTTATGTCTCAGCCTGAAATTGGAAATGAATGCACAGGTGAAAAACTGCATGTTTCATTGATGCACAAATGGAAAATGAAGGAATGGAAATCTGCAGAAACAATGACAAAATCACCCACAATAGGACATTTTGCCACGTAGAAACCAACCTCCTCATGCAAATCACCCAAATAGGACATCTATACTAATTAACCCATTCTACGGAAAACAGTTGCCATTCTATTATATATATAGTATTATATACAGTAAGTTCAGTCATTGGACCAAGTCATCCTTTTGGCAAGTCTGCCCACTCCGTGAAAAACGCGATTGCTCGACGAAAATGGGTCAATTTTGGCCAAGTTCACTGATGGGCACTTCCTCAATGGACGTGTCGTCAACTTGGGCACAGCAAAGAAACATGGCCGGAGAGCTGGGCTGGGCGAAAGGGTTAGCTGTTCGTCGTTTAGGCAAGGCCGCCCTTTGGAAATTGTGCTGAGCCGAAAATTGTTTTTCGCCGGGGGAAGAGGAGCTGCCAGGCCAGGTGAAGCTACAGAGGGGAGAAATGGATGCTAGACGTGGAAGAACAACGGGTATTATATAATATTATATATATATTCATTAAACACACGCAGGATTAAAAAAACGATGGACAAGACAAGAACTGCCAGAATAAGGCAAACAAGACATGAACCGGACCAAGAAGAATGAACAGAAAACGAGAAGAACATAAACAAAAACCAAAAGAACAACAGGAAACACACAAGAACAACATGAAGAATAAACACAACACTACGAGCCGAGCAAACAAAATGCCAACAGAACAAATGGCACACGGAGAAGAGTGACAGCGGGAAGAATTGGGACAGGGGCAAGACTTGGAACAGGGAGAGGAAACCAGCATCACAGCCATGCTTTGCCACCTGCAATTGGATGTAATAACCATCCCCCAAATCACCATAAATAGCTTGTATAAACTATTCCCAAATGGGTGGTTTCTTAGTGTTTTACCCACTTCATTGACTTCATATTGGATGTTACATATTTGCATCTTGGTCCGTCTCAAAGCTTCAACTTGGCATCCCGAACTCCGCGAACTCCGCGCTTCGCTGCTTGCAGGACGCCTTGGCATCAAAAACAAGCGCGCCAGTGGCAAAAGAACGCATAACCCGTGCTAATGGTATGTTTGGTTCTTAACGGATTATGGTAAAAAATGTTATATAGTGATCCTTCATGGTGATGAATAATGGTTAAGTTAACCATGACACATGATGCTTAATATTGGTGAAGCACGCATAAACCACCCAGATAAATTGATGGTTTACACCACCCATCAAAATGGTAAAATAGAGGATGGTTTACTATGAGTTCAATCAAAACTGCTCAAACAAAAAGGTTAGTAACAATGGACATGTCAAGGTATCTATTCGGGCAAACCCCTCAGTTTGCCCGCGCCGACGCCGACGCCGACGACATGTCCAAACATCAAAAACACTGTGTTTGGTGGGACAAAATGCACATGTCCATGATCATGGCTTTCATCTTGCAACGCGCAGCTTAGCTACCTGTGCGTTGAATGTTACAACTACAACAACAACAACAACAACAACAACAACAACAACATCAACATCATCAACATCATCAACATCATCAACATCATCAACATCATCATCATCATCATCGTCATCAGCATCAGCATCATCATCACCATCATCATCATCATCATCATCATTTTCATCTTCATCATTAAATTCCTAATCCCCTTGTTGATCTCCGCAATTGAACGTAAAGTTTAACGGTTTAACGGAGGTGGGAATTTACATTCCTAATACCCTTGTTGATCTTCCCAATTGAATGTAAAGTTTAACGGGGGTGGGAATTTACATTCCTAATACCCTTATTGATCTTCCCATTTGAATGTAAAATTCGACGGGGGTGGGAGGGAATTTATATTCCTAATACCCTTGTTGATCTTCCCAATTGAATGTAAAGTTTAACCGGGGTGGGAATTGATATTCCTAATACCATTGTTGATCTTCCCAATTGAACGTAAAGTTTAACGGGGGTGTGAATTTATATGTCTAATACCCTTCTTGATCTTCCCAATTGAATGTAAAGTTCAACGGGGGTGGGAATTTACATTCCTAATACCCTTGTTGATCTTCCCAATTGAATGTAAAGTTTAACGGGAATCGGAATTTATATTCCTTGAAAATCCCTAAGAAGTTGTGTGCGCGAACTGGGGGGTTTGCGCGTATCTAATAATTAATTATATATACAATGTGTATTAATGTGTAGATATTTTCTTACTGAAATTTTCTAGGTGTATTACCCTCCAGTAATCAAACCTGGCTTGCTGGAAATTCACCTAGCAACATTTGATTACCAGGTTATTGACATGTCGGACATGTCAAGAAGACATTCTCTGCTTAGATTGATATATGCTTTTATATGTATATGTATACCGGCCTGCAAGAATTCTTCATACACAACTGTGCAAGCCCCATACTAATCTTGACCATAATTGTCGTTAAAGTGAACAACAAACAAAAACGACCAGCCATGTCCACAGAGACTTGGGGAATAAACACATCCAGCCGGCGCTGAAAACTACCCAAACAATCTCATGGTTGATCAAAGTTGATCTTCATTTGGCCATGAGTCAAAAACCCTGCTACCCTACGCAAAATCATGGTTGTTGCTTTTTGGATGTTTATTCCTCCGGTCATAATATGATATGGTACCTATATAGGTTTTGAAATGGTTTTGACACATCCCCATTTTGGACCATCATTTTCCGTAAACTAACTTAAAGCTGCCTTTTGGACCCATCTTCCCTACTTGGATGTGCATCCCACGAATCATAAGTGGTTTATAATCCTCAAAAATAAGCCGTACGTATTAATATCATGTTATAATCCCGTAGGTTTCTGTGGGGGTATTCCATATACTGTGGCTAAAACTTCAATAATTAAGATACCATCCCCAAAAAAAATCACAAGGGAAACAATTTTTGTATAAACAATTCCCAGTCTAAGTGGTGGTTTATCGTAGCCATTTAAGTGGTGCCCGGCCCCAGGGGATCCCAAAAAATCCCCCAGGGTTCCAACAGGGGGCCTTGGCTCCGCGAAGGGAGCGAATCGCCTCAAGCGCCCGCGTCATCGCTCCATGGGCTTCGCTCCTGCGAGGTGAAATCCCATGGGAAAGTCATGGGAAAATCCACTAGAAATGGAGGTTTAGTTAAGGATTTCATCATCAAATGGATTTGATCAAATCTAGGTTTAGTTAAGGAAAATCCGGTTTAGTTAAGGAAAATCCACTGGAAAAATCCTTGAAATTTAGGAACATCATCATCAAATCACAAAATGGAGGATTTTTCAGAGGACACCGGAGGGACTGGCTGGGACTTTCTGGGGGGTTGCTCCTCGCATGGCTACACCGTGAACTCCGCAGCACTCCGCAACCCCCGGTGTTTTGCAGCAAATTCTCCAGAGGGCGCAGCAAATGGCCACAAGGAACCAACCAACCACAACAAAATGGGGAAATTCCAATGGATTTAATGGGATTCAATGGTGGTTTTGGATGAGATTTCATAAGAATTAAAGAGAATGTAACCGTTGGCTTGGTTTTACTACGATGAAATCACCCAAGCCAGGGGTATCACAGTTTCCCGACAAAACCATTTTTGGCAAATGTGGGGTTCCTGAATCATCTAAGCAAGTTCGAATATCTAAATAAATGAGTTAAGAACATTGGGAATGACTCAATTTCAACGTTGCATATTTTTTGGGATGATTCATCCAATCTCGTGCGGTGATAAGTTTGTGAGGCGGTGAAGAGATCGCCTTATTTTGTCGAGAATGATGCAGCCCTCTGGGTTTCGATACACCCCAAGTATCCCCAAGTAATTATATCCCCACATGGTTCATCTTTTGAGAAAAGGGTTGGGATATAATTGTTGTCTTTAATGTGTTTTTTCTTGGGTTTAGTGCATTACCAATGTTGATGACAATTCCAACCAATTTAAGATGAATACGACTCAGTGGAGCACAGCTTATGTATGCTTATGTCCGGTAGAGTCTGTCAGATCATTAGTACAGACTTCTGTAGTTCGATCATAAGAATAGGGTCGCACATGATAAACAATTGGTCAAAATAAGGATGGCAAGGCTCCCTGGAAACTGTCCATCTAAGAGTCTACCTTCAATTTTTTCTAAAATCTCAAAAAAAAACAGCTTCATCACTTGCCAGGTTTATATCCCATTCTACCCTCTAGTACTCCAACCTTCTAGTACCCAACAATTCTGTTAATTCTGTTCTCTGTTTTTGTTTACCGGGCTATAAACATATGAGAAACGATTTTTCTGCTGTAGAAGTCAGGGAGTTCCTACCAGATTTGCCGCCCCGATTTCCCACCAGGTCGTCGCGAGCCCCCGAAACACCGGTGGGCTTCGGAATGCGCACGCACGGACCGGCCACAGCTTCGCCTGAGCCGCAGGATGTCGCAGGATATCTATATAGTGAGAGTAAGTATAGTAAATCTTCAACTTATTATATAGGATTATATAGGTACAGTAATCTTACGTAAACTTATATAGTGAACATTAATCACATTCCTATCTTTTTGAAGGTTGCCATTACTATACCTATGATATAGCCCTGGGTTTTTCACAAAATGGAAGATTCATGAAGATCCCCAAGTCACCATGGCTGTTTCAATACCATTTCCATAGTTTGGTCTAATGGTTTGGGTATCCCTGTGACTTAGGAAACCTCCATATGTATTCCCTTCCTCGCTTTCCATTGCCATCTCCAAAGCGTTGAACAGAATCTGAAATTTAGATACCATGTTTTCCCCATTCTGTTGGGGATATAGTCATTGATAGTCATTGTAACCCAACTCACAATGGGGGTGAACCATCGCAGACCAAGCTCCCGGCAAGTCGATCACATCAATTGTAAGATCATTGCTCCGAAATGATGAATTTGGTTTGGGAGACTCAAGTATTGTACAATGAGGCAAACCCAATGCCGTAAACCATGCCCATTTGGGATTTATTGTTGGGTATATCCGTTTTTGTTTCTGGCTGATGTATCACAATATTCAACATACTTGAAACATGACCCCCCGTCGCGAACCCGGGCTTTACCGTCACCGCAAGAAGCCCTCAGTGTGGATACACTGTTTGGGGAGAAAAGCGAAACAGTTTTGTTTTATAGTTCTCCTGATTTTTCATGGCCATGCACATCTTCATAGCCATTGGCTCAAACTACTCAATCATCAGAGGGCTTTCCCTTCAACACACATGGACGAAGCCCGTCTTTTTTTGGCCATCTCTCGGCGGTATTGGCGCCCATGATCACAAGATTTTAGAACGCCGGCTGACAGGACCTCGTGGGTGTCAATACATACATGTTCGTATTCCCTTGTGCTTATCCAACAATTATCCTGTATGTATGTATGTATATATATATGTATATATGTACATATATATATATGCTCAGCAGCCCTCCCAGTGCCTACCTTTTCTAAGATTTTAGATATTTTTAATTATCATCGGTGAGTCTTTGTATAGTGTGTAAATATATATAGTGTGCGTATATATATATATATATATGTACATATAGTGTGTATGTATATATATATATATACACAAATCTTTCCGGGGTGTAACTAATCCGTTCAGCCCACTCAATGACAGGAGCAAAGACATACCAGGCACTAGAATATTGTGTGTTTTCCAACTCCCTCGGAACAAAGACCAATAGAAATGATCAAAAATCACCAAATGGAAGAAATACATCTGTGGATGTCTGTGTTTTTTTAAAGACAATTCATCAAAACAGTCGACCTACTAGATTATGATAGATCTCAACCACAAAGCATTTCGCAGAAAGTTTGGTAAATCAACGTGACACATAGCTGCATCTATGGTAAAAATCAGTTTTCCGAACACGAACTTTGAGCTTGCATTCTAAATGAGGGATTGATTCGAGAACTTGAATTGGCGTTAGTTGACTTACATAAGGTTGATTACTGTAAGGGTCTCTGGAAAAAAAGGACATAACATACCTCAACATGCATGGCACAGTGCCTCCTTCTCAGCCATGGGTAAATGAAGCATGGACAAGTTCATTAATGTGGCACACCCGATGTCCGAAACCATCCGCAGAAAAGGGAATGACGTAAAATGAACCCCAGTGATCGGTTGGTTAATTGGATAGTTCATTATCCTTAATTGGATAGATTCTAATAGCACCCAAATATTGAATATTAATTCCCTTCCAGTAACCCATTAACGCTAAACCGCTAAACTATTGTGTTTTCTTACCACGTTGAAAATTCTGTCCCAAATTCTATGGGCCAATCGTTTCATGTCCACGACCGTCCGCGACGCCGCTGTCAACCACCCAGAATTCATCGTCGGCGGCGTTGCCGAGTGACATCAAGTGACACCGTGTGCTCAGTAGGAGAGGTTTCTGTTACAAGTCTCCGGCAGCTGGAAAAACCATGCTTAAGGTAGAATTGTTTCAAGCTTCAATTCAATCCCAAGTTGGAGGGTCCTTCTTTAAAACCCCATCACAACATTCACAACATACTTCACAGTACTTCCCAGTACTTCCCCTCTGTCTCCTCCCTCAAACAACTGCACTGAACCATCTTGGCCTGGGTCAAGGCATGGACAACCATCGATTTTGGCTAATTGATCATGTTTAATCCTTAGCCATCTGGTTTTTGTGGCCCAATTTTGACAAGTTTGACTTATATATATATATATATACACATGATCGCTCATATAGTGTTAATCTCCGATCATCTGCGCTACTGTGAAAGTCTGGTCGATGTAGCTGTGGATGTTACGGCCTACGACACCGATTCAAACCAATCATAAATTTTCAGAACGGGTGGATACCTTTAGAGGATTTTTTTGGGGCACCTGGTTTCTTCAGGTGCTAGCTGCCTAGCTCCCTACTGACTATGGATATTACAGTACCCTCTGGTAATTTAACATAGCTATTGAAAATATGGCCCAGTCGAAATAGTGAGTTTTCCCATGAAACATGGTGGATCTTTCCAGTTCGTTTTTTCTACATTTACCAGGCCGGGTAACAGTCTCATCATCAGCAGCAGCTCCCAACAGCTACCCAATGATGGAAAAACCAGTGATGTGGTTAGCCGTTAGAAAAACCCATAAAAACCATTCAGTGGCTGACAGAAACTACCCATTTTTTGGGTGACAGAAACTACCTATATATGGCTGCCTAGATTCCTAGATCTGCCGGAAACTTCCACTCCCAGCTGGCCCCTCCTGTCGCTGCTCGACATATGTGAGGGCTTCAACCCGCGAGTCCGCTGCTGTCTTTCCCTGCTCAACCTTCCAGTTCATGTCAACCCTTGAAGAGCCAAGACCTGACCAACTGACTCATGGATAGGGGTCCCAAACATCGTTTGAACACATTTGGCAATGCCAGTTACGTAAGGATCGTCCTGAGGATCGTACTCCTCCCATGAAACAAGCAGCGCATAAATTTCGCGCCAAGGTGCCCCAATGAGTCGATACCCCTGGGCTTCCGTCCACTTTACCTCCATGAAAACTGGCAAATTACAGTAGTCCGGATGGTAGAGGCCACAGTAAGGTAGTTGAATTGTCATGAATTTTCCTATACTGCGAAGTGCAATGAACTGCATTCTTAGTCCAACACCTCCCAGTGATCCTTTCTAGGATCTCATCAAACGATCTAAGCTGAACTCCAGGTTCAGCTTGTCTAGTGTTGATATGTCGGAAGCTGCCATTGAATCAAACATTCATATCAAAATAACCTAAGGAAAACCGAAAATCAGGCCCAAATGGGACTGCTTTACACATCCAACAAATCCTGATCCGGAGACGCCGAAATGGTGAAGCGTTCAGGACTCGAAGACTGCCCCCTCCAGATCTGGGTGCTGACAGGCTGGGAGCACCATTCAAGAGGATAAAAATGTATCTGATCTTTGCCAACTCTTAGATGTTCCATGAGATATTGGCATGAAATGAATCACAAGAGTTTCGGAGAGATTGAAATCAAGCAAATCGTTCTCTGGAGGACACCCCAACCCGTCCACTATCCGATAGTCACGAGCTTCTCCAGCTCGCCAATGCAAGTTGTTGCCGATGCTTTGGTCCTTTTTGTGAAACATCTGAAACTTATTGAGAAGTTGCCGGTGTGTCTGGAAATGGAACACTGCAGGTACCTAGGTTTGCCAGATTATCAAAATAGCAACTTCGGAGTACCACCTCTTTTGAGCCAAACCCTTGTCCTGAAACTGGGACACAATGTCAAATGTGTTTGAAAGCACCGTTAGGTTTCTTTGCTCGTGGCGTTAGTAGGTTTTTTTGCCTTCAAAAACCATCGCCATATGAGTGATTGCTGAACGTTTAATAGGCTACCTTCATCTACCTTCCAAAGTTGAGAGGTTCCTGGATTCCTTACGTCTGGTGACAAAGAAACTTGTTGGGCCGCCTGTATGAATGTCAACTTAGAAGCTTCACGCAGCCCCAAAGGAGGCCACAAAAAGTGGGCCGCCAAATGCGAACGTCATCTGTAAGGCCATAGATTGACTATTTGACCCCGAAAATACCGCAAATGGGTGATGAAAGCATGGTTCCTAGCTTCAGAATCCATGGTCAGTGAATCGTTGAAAGACCTATAGTTCCAAATATCATGTAATTAATTGAGATCTGGTGGGACATACCTTAGGCCTTAGGATCCTTTGGACGTTTGCTACAAAACCATTTAAAAACGATCATCCAGGTCCTACAAATTTCCAATCCGAGTAGGCACAGCTGTTTTTGCTGACCTCCGCACCCCTCCCAAAATTATGTCAGTCAGCCTATAGCTTTGCCACCCTAGATTTCATGTTGCAACGTCCAGGTTGAAATATCAGTCTGTCTGAGGTCTTAAAAATCATACCTTGACCACCGAAAACATTTTGCCCCCCCCTTATCGTCATGTCATAAATGATGTTGCAGGCTGAAGGTTAAGTATTTCCAACTTGAAAAAATACGTCCACATTGATTTGTTCGTCATCAGGATGCGGATGAAAGTAAATTCCTTGCGGGAAGGTTGATATCGCATGGGCGGTGTCAGCCATCAGGATTATATAAATTACGACTGCAAGCAATGCAAGCAATGCAAGCAATCCCTCCAGTCTCTTGTGCATCCTCATATTGTCAATGGCACTTGTCCCCTTCCTAAGTACCGGCCTGGGCCTATGGGCAATAAAACAGGCTGTTTGTATAATGCAATCCGATCATCCCATGCAGGGAAATAGAATGTTTCATACATTGCCTTATAAGTGGCTGAATTCCATGGTTTATGGTAGATAACTATAGTTAATGGGGATCATAATAGTTTATAAACCAACTTTAGACCAACTTATAACTGGGGGGGCCCATCCTGCACGGTATTTTTGATAATAAAACTACAGTACATGCAATCAAGTTTCACCATGTGGGGCTATCATAGACCATACCTCTCGAAGGAAAAAAACTTTACACTAAAAGTCTCTCCGCTATATACAAGTTGTGTATGTATGCGAGTGTTCTGTGAATTGAATGTATAGTGTGTATAATATGTATATATGTATATATGTATATGTGTATGTATGTATATATATATATATATACATTGCATATATATATATATCTCTCTAGATCTATTTGTCGCTGCAATTATAATATATATATATATGAAACAATTACGGTAATATTGCTGATTACTGTTGTGAATCATATATGAATTACCCGTTTTCGGTAACGGATCAGAATCATGTTGACCACAGCTTCTCAGCTCTGAAGCTCGGCTCGGACAACGCCACCACATCGCATCAGAAAGTTCATACAATAAATGCCCAGGAGGGACATGATCTTCTTGGGAGCAAACGGGAGCAGCAAACGGTTGCAGAGCTAGGTTACAGTTGCAGCTGCCACATGTTTTTTTTTTTTTATGAATTTCCCTATGAGGCCAGGCATTTTTTTTTGTCTTAAAAGCTACTCCAACATTGTTTCATGGAAAAAAGGATTATCGATAAATCATCATTTTTTCAGATTTTGGGATACAGAAAAAAGTTGGTAAGACAAAATCGGATCCACCACCCAAGTTTTTTGCCATGTTCAATTTCTTCACATAAACCATCAATTGATATGGCTGGGTTTTCATTTTCCACTTACGAACAGTAGCGACTACAGCTCCCTTGGGGAAACCATGGCCCTCCGAGCAAAAATTCACCTAGACATCTATCTGGTGCTTGCATTCAAACCCACTATCCGAATTTGAAAAGCTGGGCTGGCAGTACTCCTATCCATCTTGGAAAAGACTCGATTTTGAATTCATGCTTGAATTAGGCAACAAACTAGCACATATTGTCAAAGTTGATGACTCGCGCGCATCGAAAAGCTTGGAACACCCGACATGATGGCCAAGCCATCTCAATTGGAGGCTCTGAGTTTTCCATTGCATCCACTTATTCACAAAATCGCGAGACTAGCAAGAGATCCTAATATCAAACAACTTCTGCACATGCGACTCACCACGACAACCATCGAAGATTCATGGTACAGTACAGCGGAGTATCAACTAGAATTCATACTATAGTTAGGTTGTAGGCCGACAATGCAGCGGAATTTGATGGACGTTCTACCCATCAAATTCCACGATTTCGACTTGCCCTCCGGTAGTCTAACATAGCTGTGGAAAATGGTCTGTTTCTAGATCATATGCCCAGTACAAATGCTATCAAATGGTATCAAATTCCATGGTTATCTTAAATCACCAGAGGGCAAATAGATATGTCCTATGTAATCTATGTAAATGATTGTAAATGTATATATTATCCTCAAAAGTCCATGCCGTCACGACTCGCATCACGACTCGGAAATTTCGGCCACTGCCATCCCAGTTGCGGGCGGAGGAAACCGGCGCTGTACGCTGTACGAGGTTGTTGGAAGGAGGAAATATCGCCGGCGGAAGGCATCTGGAACGACACACTTTTGGTGTGGGAAAATGTTGACCGAAAGTCTCCGAAGCGATTGGTGTGGGGAACACAGGAAATCCCCATAGATTATCCATATATTAACCATAGATAAACCATCATTGGAAGCATGGAACAAAAACATCTTAGATCATCCCTCATGGGGTTCACTCTGGGACTGCCAAAAAAGTTGGTGCCCAATCGCATGACTCACCATGAAATTTACATTCAGGACACCCCAGAAAGCATCCTAAAGACGTCTAAAGACATGGTCTCTATGCAATCTCTATGGATAATGACCCAAACCAAATCAGAGACAGTGACTTGGACGTGGTTCAAAGTCACAGAGTGGTGGTTTCAGTTTATTGAAAAAATATTTGGACATCTGTATGTGACATATTCAACATTTGCTCTGACACCCGGTTCGGGTCCTGCTACAAGCAGGGGTGTCACGGGCACAGGTGAGGTTGATTCCCCTCAATTAACCCATCATGTACGCCATGACGTAAAACAACGTGAGGCCGTTATCAGATTTATTCTATGCAGTTTCCTCACGTATATCAAATCATATCCCGTAAGCTGTTCCATTACCCCTTCAAACAATATTATAGGGGTAATATATATATGGCATATATATAATTATATAAATATGGTATATAATGATATATCCATATATATATATATCCCAATTATACCACCAATTTTGCTCGTTAAATCACTGTATTTGATTTAGCTTTTCACAACGAAACAACGTGTCTTCCAGGGGCCGTAATCCGCTTGAAACGCGCCTTCACGGGGCAGTTGGAGCATAGGAAAGTTGAAGTCTGGTGTCTGAAAGTTGGGAACGCCCGAAAAGAAATGGAAAGCATCAACATGAATCACAAAAAGTACCAGAAAGAATCTATGGATCAAATGGATCATCCGAAATCTCAAGAATTTGAAGATATCTGGTCATTTTCTTGATGATGGACGATCCCAACTTGCAGAAATCCTCTTGCAATGCCTACCTTTGGCCGCGCAAATTACTGAGATCCCAGACCAAGCACACCCGATCTTCCCAGGGATTTTTGCCTTTGTATATCTCAAGAAGGCTGTCTTAAAATAGCAGAAAACCTCAACAATAATCAGGGGATTGGAGAGTTTTCAGCAAATCTTTTAGCCACAAAAAAATACTTTGTTCGAATGATCCCCACCCTGAAACACTATTCTGACACAGTTTCTGACATACCATCTGGAAGTATGTACTGCATATTTATTCTGGCATTCTATCTGACATTCTTTCTGGCATTTATTTTGACATTTTATCTGACCTTCTGGCATCTATTCTGATCTGTATTCTGGCATTCTCTCCGGCGTCTGGGCTGAGGTCCGGCAGTGCCCACTGACATCTGCAACTCGCAGTTGAGATCCGGCAGTGCCCGAGGAGAAGAAGGAGGGAGGAAGGAAGAAGGGAAGGAAGGACGGAAGGAGAAGGCAACTCTAATAAAATCTAGAGACCCTCACCTGGCAGGTGGGGAACAACAAACATGAGCTCTTTCTGCACTGATCATGAATAGAACCTCCTTTCAGTAGCAGCCCACTGTCAAAAATCAAATGATCCAGGTTTTCTCCGTGACATGTATATACTTGTGAATTTTTGACGTCTTGCATCTTTCTCCCTCTGAATTTTAGGCAACATTGAGGCTCCACCAGAGTAGGATTCATTTGGGATCAATTCAAGGCAGCACCAAATCAGAAATGCCTCCAACGATTCCTTCGTGCCACCACCCAGACACCTCACCAACAACCTGTTCCAACCAGAAAGTACGAAACTACAAAACATCAAAACTACAAAACATCGAAACTACCCCATCACCCTTGATGGTTTCTGTGTCACTTTTCAGGCTGGTATTTGCCTGCCCTGAGAGACTTTGTGTTTTCATCAAAATGGCACATCTGAATGCACCAGCTGGCTATGTCTGAAAACAATCTGGGCTTACATGGGTTAATCTCAGACAATGATTCTGAACAATGGCTGCAATATATCGGGTCAAACTATGTGCCCCAGTTGCAGGTAAATGAACATTCCTGTTTATCGTGCATTTGGTAATTAAATGGTTCTCATGGAATTCCCATGTGTTAAACAATGGAAAGCTAAAATAAACAAGAGTAAATGGGCAAGCCAGTAAACCCAATCTATTACTCAAGCCAAGCTAAGAATAAACATCACTATATATATACATACATATATATACGTGTATAATTAATCCAAAAACATCCACAAATCATGGAAAAAATCATAAGCGCCAGCTTTATCATCACCCCAGAATGGGGGTGTTTCCATTCGAATGGGGGTACCCCAGCGACAATCATCCATTCAAAAAAAAAAACAATATCAACCCAGCATTTCTGGAATCCCCGCTATGGAAAACTCCATAGAGCTACCTCCCTCTGGTCAAACAAATCTGGCGATCTCAGCACGTGTTGAGGTGGCCGTCTAGAACGGCTAAGAAGTCGCAGCCCAGCACCAAATCCTCAGCTCCGAAACCGCCATCCCATCCCGAACAAACCACCCGTTGACGGTGGGATATCGTTGGAACCCCCAGGACTTATCTTCCCAATGTGGAAATAACAAAAAGCCCATGGTTCTAAGAGGGTGTTGAATAGTTAATGGTAGTGAATGATGATGACTTCAATAAGCCATTGGAATTGGGGAACACCATGGAATAGCTGATTAAATCCGTCAAAGCCATCTTGGGTTTTTCGGCGCCAACTCTCTGGGCACAGAATGCCAGAGAAAATGCCAGAAAAATGTCGGAAAATATGTAAGATTTAAATCCCTATTTGAACTGTTTTTCTTATTTATCTTACATATTTAAGATTAATGCCAAATAATGCCAGAAAGTTAAGATAAAATGTTGAACTATATATGTATGCCAAATATATTAGAATCACTCGAAGAAAGTCATTTCGGAACATGTGATGTTGGAATCACTGAAATCGCTCGATGACCATGTCATTTTGTTACGAAATTGCTGTTCTTTCTGCCACAACAAAAAAGGGGGTCCTGTAGTTGTTCTCATTAGTCAATTCGAAGGACAGTTATGGTAGATCTTGTTGTCCCAGGTGTGTCGAAGAATGGAGATGACCCCCCAAAAAAACCAGTTGATCAAAGAGTTATGCACTTTATTAATCAAGTGTTACCTAAATTTCGCAACTGACTCGTGGGACATAGTTCTATATATGTCTTATCTAAGTAGAGTTCAGAAAAAATATGAGTACTAGACTCTTCAAATGATGACATGGCATTTCATGGAGTGCGCCCTGAAGTCTGGAAGCATCCACGTGGAGCCGAGTAGAAACAAACCAATACAATGATTGCCAATCAGAATGGCTGGGGAACCAATCTTCTTCGCGTCTAAGACTTCTATGTGAACATCAAATCATCTCACAGAAATTGCGAGAAATGTGGCAAACGAAAGCGATTTGCGTTGATTGTGCAAAGCACATTGATAAAGCCCACTTGGTTGTGGTTTATATCAGTCCCAAAATGATAAACATGGGAATGGTGCATTTTTTGGCTCAAACATGTTGATCACCATTTTCAGATATTTAGATACTATTCAAGTGACCGGCCATACAAAAAATAGTGTTGGTACCATCTTTGGCACAAACTTGACACACATTGTTTTCAAAATGGAACCCAAGAGGGGTGGGGTCCTATTCTTCAAGTACCATAGCATATGTATATATATATACCATAGCATATATATATATATATATGTACATTTGAATTGCCCAGACATGAAATTGTTTTCTTTGGGATTCTATAATAATGGCCCTCACATCATAAAGACAGCCCCAGATTCAATGACATTGGAAATTTCATGTTCCCAATGAACACAGTAAGTGTAACTAATAAGTACATGCAAGAATGTAGTTTGTAACGTCAATGGCCCTTTTAGAAGGGGGTTATACGCTTTGGAGGAGCAACACACTGTTCAACAAGCCCGGTTTACGCCACCGGAAACAGAGGCAGCCCCAGTTGAAACGGAGGAAAACTAATCCCCTAAAATTAAGTGCTTTACTAAGTCACTAAGTATATAATGTCACAAAAAAAAAAGAACACACTTCTACATCCCACTTCATGTTGATCTGGCTGATAACGCCCCTAAGTTGCCGTAACTTGCCATATGTTCAAAATTCAACATAATTCATATTTCCCGGTTTGTCGGTTTCAACCCCTCTCAAAAATATTAGTCAGTTGGGATTACTATTCCCAATATATGGGAAAAAATGTTCCAAACCACCAACCAGTATCAAATTAGATCATCCAATGCATCAATCATCCCACTTTCACCATTTTCTGGGTGGCATAAACATGTATATAAACACTCCAAAGATGGAAGCTGTATAGGGTTTAAATGGCTTTTGCCACATGAGTTCTCATTTAATGAGAAATCATGTGGCAAAAGCCATTTAAACCCTATATATCTCTGATGGCCTGCCATGGTAAGATCCACCCGGCAAACCAAGGCACTCGCAACGCCTGCCGCACGCGTTTCACGCGATTCCGCAGCACAGCCGGCAGCTTCGGCGCCGTGGCTTTGGCCCGAAGCCCGAGGGCGAAGAATGGGGCCACGCACTCCGAGAGTAGCAGCAAGACCTGGTAAGGTCAGGAGAATTCGCCCTATAAATATCCTATACACAATGGGAAAATCATAGGAACATATGGGAAAACATATGGAAATCCCCCTGTAAATCTAGGTTTCTACCTGGGAAAATCATCTATCGATGTCACTCTTCAAAGTTTCATGTTGGTAAGTAACAGTTGCTATCACTGAATCTTGTCAGTTCAATGAGCAAAACTCATTCAGGAAAAAAGGCCAAAATGTAAGTGCTCTTTACCTGGAGACAATTACTGTTCATGACTTGGACCCCGAAAGATTTGAACAAAAGATGGTGATTTATAATAATTTGTCTCTGTTTCATTCAGAAGTGGGCTTTAAATATACTTGATTCTCAAATTGTGGTAGGCAAAATCAGTTTTTTTGTTTCTGTAAATCTTCAGCTTTTGTTGATCCCTTTGAATATGTTTCTGCCAATCCATTGAACCATATGTTAAAACAAAAAATAATGGAATTGAACAGAACCAGCCTACTGGGATATGGGATTTAATCCTCATGGTGGTGCAGAAAGCAACTTGAATGTACCTAATGATGTTCACCACTTAATATGATGAATAATGCTCAAAAACAAGATGGAAACGTCAATCACAAATTCTGGTTGGTGGCTTTAACCATCTTGAAAACTATTAGTCAATGGGAAGGATGATCTCATATATTGTGGAAAATAAAAAATGTTTGAAACTACCAGCCAGCATTGAATCACCATGAAATTCCAAGACGAATCACGGTCTCTCTGCTTACTCAGGCTCGGAACGAAATGGCGGAGGGATGTGGACCGGTACCATTGTAGGTTCTACTAAACCCATGCCTGGCTATAGTTGATGATAAGAACATCTCGTTAGTTTATGACCCCACAAAGTATGTACAGTATACTGTACCTACCATAAATCCATTCAAATCCATATCAATCGATATTTCTATATAATGTAAAGCCTGGATTAATAAACCCCAAAGGGCTGTTTGATTGGGAGGGTACCAGAAAAAAGTATCAGATGAAATGACTACTGGAGGAGTACCCCCCTAATTCTATAGTTATCCTATAGTTATCCTATAGTTATTCTATAGTTATTCTATAGTTATTCTATGATAAACCATGCTTATCCTATAGTTATCCTAGGCATTCCTAGTCACCAACGAATAGCTGACCACAGAAATCGCTCGGTAAGCGCCACCGCGCCACCTCGTCGGCGTAATTGTCGGGTTCATCGACACGCCTCTCCTGTTCCATCGCCACAAAAAGAAGAGCCATGGGGCTTTCCATAGCCATGGGGGATCACCCAAAATAGATGGCTGATATTGGAAATTCCTATCAAAATGGATGAGAGAGAGAGAGAGAGAGATATATATGTACACATATATATAATTAAATATAATTAAATATATATATATATGTTATGAACTAATAGTTCAATTTATGAACAAACTATTTTGGGAAAAACTACCACTAATAAAAAAGAAAAACAGTAGATGGTATGGTTGTTAAAACATTGGATATAGTAACAAGACTTGTTGATTGAGGTGGTATTAGATAATCATAGATAATCAATATATCACAGTATTATAAATGGTATATTTAAACAAATAACATGGGATCACAGAAATAGTTGATCGGATTTCGCAACCATCCACCGTATATCATCACTCAAAATTAAGCGTTGACCATCACTGGACAGTGCTGGTCACCTCGAGGTGGTCCTGCTTTATTGACCTACGAAGAGATGGGGTCAAAATTGGGTACCCGAATCATTTGGGTGGTTCATGGTGGTTCATATTTCAAAGAAAAAACTAAAATCTAAAATCCCCAAGGTCGAACTAATTTTGACGAAAACTTGAAAATGGCCCTCTGAAATTCAAACCTCCAAAGTTTTTCATGGCACGATTCCATTCGTTGCTGTCGGACTGCTGTCGGACTGCTGTCGGACTGCTGTATCTTCCACCATGAATCCGGTGGAATCCGGGACATCGCGACCAGCACCACACTAATGTGTTGATCGCAGATCAACGAAACTCCCATGGGCTTCATCCGTGGATAATGTGGATATTCAATGATATTCATGGCTTTTCCAGCAAAATCAGCAAACAAGTCCTACTATGTCCTACTGAAGTTTGCTGGATGGCCAGCATCCAGGTCCAGCTCTGGGATCCAGACCTCCAGCGCCCCGAGCAGCAAGCGCAGTTCATGTGAAGCCACTAACGATGCAAGGATCACTTGAGTGGAACCTTCAATGCCTTGGCGAAGTCGAACGTTAGGTGGTGCCCCCCAACAAGTTAAACGTTGGTTGGTGAACAAATAAATAAGAACCATATATATATATATAACACATGTAATTATATATATATATATACACAACATTATATATATAGCACATATATATATATATGTAACACACACACATATATATATAATATATATAACATATATAAGATATACAACATATATATATATAACATACAACAAATATATGTTGGTTGGTGATTTAATTACAATATATCTACAACAACATAGTTATAAACAATCTTAGCTATCTAAGATCCACCACCTTGTATGAATTGGCACACAAACCGTTCCAGATCTGCAGAGCAGGACCAACCAGCAAGTACTCTCTGGTAATGTGAAAATATGGCGGGTTTGGGGATGCACAATGACCAGCAACTACTGACATGGCGTATGGCGGTGCAACAAACATCCGGCCGGTCCAACCCGGACGATAAAAAATAGGTGCAGCTCAGACAGTATCAGCCTCCAATTTCCCTTCCTTTCCTCAAATATCAAAAGGTCTCGACTCCTGAAAATTCCTGAAGTGACCCATGATATGATGCGGGCCCCAAGGGGCACCTTGACCCATTCCCCAATCAACCCACTGATCTTCACGTCTTCGCACCGGGAGGCCCATGCGTGCAAACTCGGTGAGCTTGGCGATCTTGTCTACCTCAGACGTCTCGATTAATGGTTTTCGATTTAGATCCTAAGGCCATGGCTTTTTTGGGGGAGGGAACAGAAAACATCAATCAGGGAACACATGCAGCCCCTACATTTGTTTTTGGATCGCTTCTCTCACCATAATTCCCTATGATTAAGGAAGGAACGCCAAACCAATGCGTCAAATGACCCTATATTTTCTCTGGCTTATTTATTCAGCGTCTAGGTCTGTCAAAAACTCGAAGTACATCAATTTCTGGATGGTTTTCCTGCCTCTGTGACCATGATGCAGAATCGCCCAGCAAAGAAAATCCGAAGGACTGCAGTGACTGCATGATCATACCCATGACGGATCCATGGTGCTGCTATATATGGTAACATGGATCCCATCAATATACCCCCTTAATCTTAGCATATATATATATATACCATACATGGATCCTATGGGATAGGGTTAAGACCAGGGTTTCCTGTAGATTTTCCCAGAAAAATCCACTGACGAGGAACAGTCTCGGGATTGGTGTCGTGCTCCAAACTACTTAGAACATCCTCAGCTTCTTCCAGCTTCCGCTTTTCCTGCAGCGTGGGGCTGCAGATACTGATCCTCATAAACTATATCATGGGATTTGACGAAGAACACGCCTAAAGATGACCTACTCAATGAGGGTTTACTAACCAATAAACTGGAAGTAATCCTCCTCTCTCACCCCAAGGAAACGCTAAAGCAAACAAGATTGAACCTGATTGGCCACGCTTCACAAATACACCATCAACTTGACATCTTTTTGGTTAAAAGACCCTCGCCACCAAGGATGGTTCTAGATCCGAAGAATGACTAGGGAATCTCTGGTGTTGGGGGTCCCAGGTATCGACCCCCATAGCCACATTTCCCGCGTCACAGTCCTCATAACGCCATGCCTTATCAGGCTCCTCGTTAATTTCAACCACCTCGGCTGCGTGGCCGCAACACCACTGAGTCCAATCAGTGTTGTGAAACATTGGAACAGAATCGGCTCTGTACGGTTGGCTCTGTACGGTTGTGATATATATAGGGTATATATACTATATATATATTATATTATAACCATTTGTATATATATTATTATTACTATTAATAAAATTACTATTATTATTATTATTAAAATTACTATTATTATAATATTATTATATTATTATTATCATCATCCTGAAGTACTTAGACTATCCAAGTTTCAAACATGTCATTAATATTCCTATTGTTGCGAAGACTTTTTGACAATCCCCGTGTTCTATCTACTCCAAGATGATAAGATGATTGTACGTTCGGATACAAAAACATGTTGCCCTTCTCCACAAACTCTGAAAAAAATCTGGATCTACTCAGTGGTCTCGAGGGCATGGATTTCCTGCTGTTACCATTCCAATGTTCGCTCCCATAATATCCCTGGAACCATGCGGTTCTAGTTGCACTTATAGTTGCATCGTTACTAACATTCACTCACCGGCTAAAGTGTTTGGTGATGGTAACTCCTCAGCTATGGCGTCATCCCATTGATTTCTGGGCAACGAAATACACTGTACTCTCTGGTAAACGTTTACAGTTTGCTATGGAAAGAACCACCATGTTTAATGGGAAAATTCACTATTTCTATGGCCATGTGCAATAGCTATGTTAAGTTACCAGAGGGTAAATATCAATTTTGGAATGATTCTCCTTCCTACCGAAGCATGAAGTCAGTGCGAAAGGACTCGGGGCAGCAAAACCCCCTGGCACACCGCGCCAGGACTAAGTCACGGCAAAGTCATTGTATTGTGCCTTTATCTTTTTTGCAACGCGCATCGCGTTTTGAAGAAGACATCAAAAATCATCAAAAGGGTAAGCGCGTGCTCTGGAAGGAGCATTTCCAGCATGGCACACCGTGAGTCAACAGGGTCAGGGAGCAAGCAAACAAGCCTGCAAATAAGCAAGTCTCGCAGATCTGATGGTCCATCCCAGGTTCACCATATTTATCACATAATATCCCATCACTATCAATACTTCCCTTTTTGCCATCATATACCAGAATTATCCTATAATTATCATCTAATATATATATACATAATCAATCATGTGTACATATAAATGTATATCCCCATATTCTAGTTACCTGTCAGATTGGTAACCAGCACCAATATCACAAGGTAAAATGGTTGCCGGTCTCAGAGATAAGTGGAAGGATTCTACAAGTATAATTACGTGCTGTGCATATACATACAAATGGATACATAGATAGATATTGGATTAGATTAAGATTAAGATTCAAATTAGAGAAACTCAGATCAAATTAGATAAGAGATTAGATTACAGAAATTCTATAGATAGATTAGTTACATTCCAGAAAATTAACTATTCGACCATCTTCGACCCCAAAAATCGCCAATTTGTCACTCCGCGACCTCCGGGATGATACACATGGAGACTTTCTTTTCGCTTTTCAGATCCTTAAAGGCTCAGCAGTTTCGCGGGGGATCCGTTTAAAAGAGGTGGATTTCTAAGCCGCAAATCGCCATCATTTCTAAAAGGGATCATGATATCATCATGATATCTGGGGGTCAAATTTAGCCTCTAACAAGTTTTCTTGTGGTTAGTTTCCCTATGTTACCCTACTTAGCTACCATCAACGGAAGAATCCGTAAGCTATGGTCAGTGGCAATGTGATTCTGATGTGTCAAAACAGATAGTGCAGCAACAAGGGAAAGGGACCAACAAGTCACTTGGAAGTGTAATCCAACAATTGATTACAAATTAAGTTGAATGTAAATTGGTATCCCCGAAATTTGAGGACCATAGCGGTGGACCAAAACCATATGAAAGAGAAACATCAAGTCGCATGAATCTATTCTGACCCTGTTCCTGCAACTGGGGACTGTTCACCTACAAATAAAGAAGCGTAAATATGCCTGACTCAAAATGAATTGATCTAAGTATTGGTACAAACACGTAGAACCGGTTGTTGCATACCTATGCATCAATTGTTGAGGAGATGATGTTTAACAATAAAATGGGATCCTGGAAGTGCAAAAGTGAACTATATGTATATATTATAATTATATATATATATATTATAAATTATAATCTGCTAATATATAACATATACATATGTAATGCAATCTATTTATTTATTATGTGTGACGAGCAAGTTTAATCCGCTCCAATCAGCAGAATGAGGCACTCGGGATCATCCCAGTCCACATTTCTTTGGCAGCCAACCCACCATCTCTGGGGGCTGAAATGGCTGAAATCCAGAACATCCAGCAATATCAGCTGCATTCTGGCCATACTCTGAAGCTTCTGGCGAGCCGCACACATTTCCACCTTCTTTTCGGGTTTGGCGTTTCTCCACGCTTCCTTTAGCTGTTTCTCTGCCTGAGGCTGCGAAGGTGCTGGTGGAGAAACAGTTGCTGCAAACACTTGGGGCCAGTTGGGGGTTCCAAAGTTCTGACTTTGGACTTATCAGGGGATTTGTGATCGCTCTTATCAAACTGATCTCAGCCAATTGAACAACCCAGGGGTGTGTTGCTCCAAGGTCGTCCTTGCCAGCTACTTGAGGTGACATCAGGGAAATCAACAACTCGTCCTGGTCCCCGAATGCACCAAATCATCCCTAAAGGCATATAGATGCATATAGATCTTGAAAACATAACAAAATTTGTGCAACAATTACACTGGCAAGAGACCCAAACAGTCTTCCCTCTTCCTCCCTCTTTCTCCCATTACCCAAATGATCAGTTCGTCAACCTACTGTGGATGGAAGAAAGCATGCACCAGTTGTTAGATGGTTTATCCGTTTATCCCGTTGTAATCCCATTATTTGCAGTGTTTCATAATTACCAATTGTTATCGATCTGGTTTAGGATTGTGTTCATCCACAATACCTCTGTTGATGGGTGAATTTCTTGGGGCTTACACCAACTGGCTTATTGAGGTTCTTTTGGGGATAATGAACCAACATGAAACATGAACCAACCCATAATGGGAATATCTACTCACAGACCAGTATCAATGGATTGGTTTAAGGGAACATCTTACGCAGAAACCATAGACTTTCCCATTAAGATCATGGTTTTTTCCGGTCAAAATGTTCCCTTAAACCAATCCATTGACAGTATAATGGCTGGTTGGTGGTTTGGAAACCTCTGAAAAATAAGAAAGTCAATGGGAAGGATGACATCCCATATATGAAATGGAAAATAAAATTCATGTTCCAAACCACCAACCAGATTATTAGTGGGAGAATATCCTCTATTATGGAAAAGTAAACCCATGATAAACGGATAAACTTTACCATTAATTCATAGACTTTCCATGGGAAGGGATAAACGGATAAACCACGATTTTTCCATTGGCTCTGATGCGCCTTAAGCCTATGCTCCCGCCGCAGGCGGCGCTCCTCCCTTTCGCGCTCCTGAAAACGCCGGATCAAACCAACCAAACCTGGGGATTTCACCAGCAAAAATCGAAATTTAACCTGTTTAACCAGCACCTGTGAATATTTTTCAGCAACAAATGTGGAGATTTAACCAACAAATGTGGAGATTTTTCAGCAGCAAAACCTGGTTTACCAACCAACCATTGGGGATTAAACCACCAACAACTGGAATTCAAACTTTGACCAGTGGCGATATTAACAACACAACAAATCAAACATGGGCCATGGAGGTCAATTTTTGCATCACAAGCCACCTCATGATGCGCCAACAAGACCCTAGTCATTGCCCCAACTATTTTGAGGTCTCTAGGTGCAACATGGTGCAACTGTGCTCATTCAAGGGCCAATTGACGCTTTCCAATGGCTTCTCGCAGCATCTTGCAACACTTGTGCATCAACATCATCATCATCATCATCATCATCATCATCGTCATCATCATCAACATCATCTTCATATTCATCTTTATGCCATTCTTATGGATAGACCACACAACATGTCTGAAACCATGAGCCAGCGACTGTTGCGTAAACATTCTCATCATTCCTGTGGGTGAAACCAACATCTTTGTAGTTTACACTCTAGCTACAAAGAGAGAAACCTGGCTAAGTAGAGGGGTAGAATCACCACTTTGTCTCCTTGCAGTGGTAATCATTTACCTACATTAGGCTGGAGCAACCCTCTTGTTTATTCGTGAGCTGTTTTCCGGATCAAATTATTTCATTTAAACATCACCTCAAAAGTTAGGCCATGTGGTGATGGTTCAAACAATCCCAACCGGGTTAACAATGACCTTTGTGGCTGCAGGTCACTTCCAGTCATCTGCTGATGGAACTCGCACCACAGCACCACAGCTCGCCCCACAATCGGCACCTGTCTTTCCTGACGCGCTTGACGGAGTTCAGGCGAATGCCGCGTTTCAGTGGGCCTCATGCCTGCCAAAAGTCAGCACTACCAGCTTCGAAACTGGGAGATACATCCCAAAAACACATAGAATTCATGGTATAGATTCCATATTTCAGACCTTGTAGGAGATTGTAGGAGATATTTCTCGTATAATATTGATTTCTTTGCAGCCTGTTGGCTTTTGGCGGCTCTGTGCCCTGTGACATCCTGTGACTAGATCAATGCTGGTACCAAGTTGCTCCCCCCTCCGGGGCAACAAGATGGCAGAATCAAGTTTTGGATTGGTCTATCTCATAATATGATAATATATGATAATATGTGTGCATCTATCTCCAAATTTATTGCATGAATTTCAAGAGTGGCCACAAAAGGCAGATGAGTCCCCATGGTTTTTGCATTCCACATCATTTGTTCAGGGAAATGGCTGGTCACATGCGAACAAGAATTGACACATCACGCAGGGACTGACACCACCTTAGCGAAGCTCACCACTTTACTGCCCCGATCCTTCCCCGGGACTTTCACCCACCAATTGCAAATCATTGAGATGGATTGAGGATGGGGCCCCCCAGTTATAAATTGGTTTATAAACCATTATAATCCCCATTAACTATAGCTATATCTACCATAAACCATTGAATTCAGCCATTTTGATCCTGTTGGGCTGTGGAAATCCCCACATGGTCATCCCATTTAGCCCACATGAAGCCTGAGGCCCAAATGGCGTCAAAGATGGCTTCTTGTGCCAATTGCTTGGGCGTCTTCCGGCGGTATTTCTTCTCCTGGGCGCTGTTTCAAAATGGTGGAAATCTATAGGAAACCCCATGGTTGGAGGAGAATGGTGAAGTGATCTTTAGAACAGCATCTTTCAAAAGTTCTGTCGGAGAGTAAAATTCAGAGTCATTCAGAGTAACAGTAACATCTACAAAATACTTCTGGGTTCTATTGTTCTTGTTGCTCTTGCTATGGATTTTATGTTCTTTTCTAGGTTTTACCATGACTTGCATGACATGTTTCTATGATTTCTATGGGTCCAGCTTGCTGGCAGTCTAGGTCTCCAAACGGCAGGAGTTTTTAGAAATCCAGGGCCTAAAATCTGTTCCGAGGTCACCATCTCCACAGCACCGGTGGCAATAGGAAATCTCCCATTTATAGATAAATTTCCCAGCCATAAACCAGCCATAAACCTTCAAGTTCAGGGATTTTCCCCCAGTTATGGATGATTTTCTCAGCCATCAACCATCATGAACCTCCAAGTTCGGGGGATTTTCCAGCCATGTTTGATGAGGATACACCCAGGGTCCTTGACGGGTTGTTCTTCTTGTTCCGCGACCGGCTCCACCTTCTGCTTGCCCGTACCATCACAGAACATGCAGCTGTGCTTGCTCACCTTGGATTGTCCCAGGGGGGGGTTCCATTCCTAGTGTCTGCGTTTAGCCAATCCAATGCGTTTTGGAAAGTGAGATTTAGTGAGATAATTACGATGATAATACAAGTATATATTAAGGATAAATTGCACTTGCAATAACCATACTTGGAAACTTACAATGGTTGCAAACATGCAGGAATAATGATACCATCATCTGACCATCAACAGTCATGCCAGCGTAACCAGTACAGGTAGGCCGGTAACCTACAAGATTGTGGCGAAATTCGGGATCGGAAGCAACGTGGCAAATGTGGGAAAGTACATGATGATTGTTGTTTGTTCTCTGGAGTTATACCATTGCTATATTTTTCTTGTTGGTTACCAAATTGGTTGATTGAACTGTACACCTCTTCAAATATCATCAGAGTCGCTTTGGGTTCTAGATCATACGGGGCAAAGAATCGGTACCAAAACGCAAGTAAACCAAAAGACAACCAAAAAAACAATCATAAAAAGTCATAGCTAAATGACCATGATACCCAGTACTGCTTATTTTTGAATCCCAACCCTAAACCCCGAATCTACTACCCACTTATCTGTAACTCGTTTGGTCTGCTGAAAATAAATCAGTCAAGCACGATCATCCTGCCAAATAGTTGGGAAGGAGGAACAAAAACACTGGCGATGTGAGAAGCAAAAGAGTAATTCATCTCAATTATCAACCATTCCGAGAGCCAGTATGCATTACAAATGATCCCAAGTCTTCACAAATGGCCATTATAAGCTTTAGTTTTCCCTTAAACTTATTACCATTAGAAAGTAGCTTTGTGAAACATGAGCAAACTTATAGTATAGTTAAATAATGTGATATAGCTACCCTCTGGTAAACAGCCACCAAACTACGGAAAGATCCACCATTTTATCTGGGTAAATCCACTATTTCTATGGCCATTTGCAATAGCAAACTGATGCAAACTGTTAATTTACCAGGTCGGGTATATGGTGAGATTGGCCATTCGCAGTCGTCATGGCTAAATGGCCATGGCACGCAGTTGAGGCCAGTTCCATTACCTCGGCGAGGCCGAACGTGGCACTGACCAAGCGTGACCGGGAAACTGACCTTCCGAGACGACTGATGATAGCAAGCCTACCAAAGAAATGTGTTCCCAGAATGTTCTAGATCTAATATGTGCTTCATATTTCCAGTCTTCCCACTTTTGTACCTGGGGATTGCTATTCTAGAATTCAAATGGCAAACCCAAACATGTCCAAGTCCCGATCTAACGTATTTGTATATCTACAGACTATGTTGTATGTCCTAACATGTCCTAACTATTCAAATTAATACAAATTAATAAAGATGAACATGTTCCACTGCCATCTTTGATGACCAAAGGGCAAACCCCTTATATGCTATTATCTATTACTGAAATAGTTTCTCTACACATCCAGAAGCGCACAGACAACAGTACCCGATGATGTCCGGGCGACAGAAAGTGCAGCTTGGAACTTCGGTTTCTTCCACCTTTTTGGACTTTTTCTCATCCTGCAACTTGTAACGTGCAAATGGTGAGGTGGACAAAACATGAGAATGTTGGCAGGCAGGGATCTAGCATAAACATGCATGCCCAGAGCAATACAGCAACAACAGGGGATATATGTATATATATATATGTGATATGAACACACATACACACACACATACACACACACATATATATATATATGTATATGTATATATATATATAAATATATATATTATATGAAATAAATGAACACAAACACTCGACAGGAACACAACGAACCCAAGAGAGCCACAAGCAACTTGGGAGAGACAACAATTTTGCTGCACTCCCCAGCTGGAGCAATTACTGGGCAACATCTCCCAAAAATTAGCATACACTCGCGACAGAAATCGTCAACCTTCTTTTCCAGGACCACCGGCAGGTCACGATATATAAACGCAATGTTTTCCATAAATATTCTCTTTGGTAGCTTCATGTCACCCGAGTCATTGAATCTATGATCATCCTCTGAAGATTTGGTGACTTAAGAAATATGAAACTTCAAATGTTTGTCAAACAAAAAACTTAACATCAGTACGGTCAAAAAATCTGGGCACCCTCTAGTAGTCTAGCATAGCTATGGAAAACCACAGTTTTGCACGGGTAAATCATCTAATTAGTTTCATGGACCATTTTGCATAGCAATGTTGGATTTTCAATGGGGTAAATTATAAGAAATTATTCCATCAAATATCCCGGTAAGTATCTATGATGACCAATGATTAATCACTATTAACCACTAATTCCCCGGGGTAAGTCCGAGAACCCTGGATAGTTCTGGCCTCATCCGTCTCGGTTAGCTCTTCCGTCACGTCCTGAAATCTCATGGTGACGAGGAAGGAAGAGTTTAAACACCTGAATTGGTACAAGCTGAGGCCCCCATATAATTAGTTATGTGTTACAAGTTGGTTTTAAAACCTCATTGATTAACTATAGTTGTTAAATCATTATATCCCACAGAAACCAGAGTTCACCTAGTTAAAAAGTCAACTTAGCTATCTAAATGGCATCTATTTATATATTCGTGCATGTAGGGTCTCGGTCTATGTGAGCTGAGGGAATGTCCCCCCAAAAAGGGTTTGAACATGTTTGAACAATGGAATGGCACCTCCGGTTGGTCCAAAGGACATCGTTTTGCTTGATGAAACATCATTTCCTGTGGTAAATTCCAGGCCTTTGGCGCTTACAATGCGAATGTTTCTCCGGACTAAACCCCGATGTTCTATCAGCTAAAGTGAAACTCCCACTGGAAATTAGCTCAACTTGCAAGTTCATGTTTCTTCACAACCCGCTTAGAATCTTATACTCCACAAAAAACATCCGTGTTATCAGAACCATTTCAAACCTGTAAAAATTTCTGGAAATCAAACGTGGCTGGCCCGAAAATCAACGAACTAACTGGGGAGTACCAATTGCTGCGTGACTACCATTTGTATATGATATTCCCAGCTATAAACCTCCATTTAGTTCGGCGATTTCCCATATGTTCCGATGACTTTCGCATTGTGTACAGGGGATTTCCTATAATTTTCCTTTTTTTCCTGTATTGTCCCATGATTTTTCTATATTTTCCTATATATGTTTTTTCTATATGTTCCAATGGTTTTCTCATATTTTCCCATGTTTTTCTCGTGTTTTCCTATGATTTTCCCGTGTTTTACCTATGATTTTTTAAATGTATGTTTACCATGATTTTCCAATATGTTTCCCATTATTTTCCTATATATTTTCCTATGATTATATTTCCCTATATCATTTTCCAATATGTTTTCCATATCTTCCCACAATTTTCCCCCAATTTTCCCAAACCCTCCGCGGCATCCCAGCCGTGCTGTCCTCCGGCGGCAGGTTCGCCAGGCGTTGCACCTCCTCTGCCAGGTCCTCCAACTCCTCTGCGTCGCCCGGCGCCTTCCTGGCGGTAAAACAGTGGGAAGATCCATTGGTATTACTGTGGGTAAGACATTGGTTGGTTCATGATTAAACTATGGTTATTATATGATGGCTATATCATTGTGATTAATGATTATAGGAAATTATTCGGAAATTATACTACCCAAATGATTATGATTAAAGAACCCTTGGATAATTCTTAAATATATAATTATTAATGGTTAATTAATTGTTGGTTAATGATTATACTACCCCAATGATTATTATAGAACGCTATTAGTGATTATAATACATGATTAATTAATGGTGATGTATAAATTCAAACATGATTAATTAATAGTTGGTTAATGTTAAAGGTTAAAGGTTGATCGTATTAATGTGGGTAAGTTGGTGCCCCCAAGATAGCTAAGTTGGTGAACATAACTGCAATAACTATGGTTTATAGGTGATATATCTATAGCTAATGGGATTGGCATTGATGCGGGTAAAACATTAATAACAATGATGCATGATTCAGCCACTACCAACCATTCTTCAACCCCAATGGAAAATCCATCATTTGTTAATTATATGTTGGTTATATAATGGTTCTTTATGACTATAGGAAATCATTTGGAAATTATGCTACCCAAATGATTATTATAGAACACTACTAGTGATTATAGAACCCTTGGATAATTCTTAAATATATAATGGTTAATGGTTAATTAATGGTTGGTAAATGATTAAACTACCCAAATGATTATTGTAGAACACTATAAGTGATTATACAAAATGATTCATGGTGATGTATAAAGATTATTAATTAATGGTTGGTTAATGGTTAATTCATGGTTGGCTAATGGTTAAAGGTTAAAGGTTGATCGTATTAATGTGGGCAAGTTGGTGCCCCCAAGATAGCTAAGTTGGTGATCATAACTCCAATAACTATGGTTTATAGGTGATATATCTATAGTCTATAGTTAATGGGAGTGGCATTAATGTTGTTAAAACATTTTTTTGTTTTTTTAATATATAGATGAAGCCAACTATATTATAGATGGTAATTGTTGTAACTGGTGGTAATAGTAATACTTGATTGATAATTGTTAATCAATGGCCTTAATTTGTATTTGATGGTTAATTAACATAATAGTTAATAAAACTACATTGGTATTCTTAGGCGATGGAACTACATAACTATGGAAAATCACCATGTTTTAATGGGTAATTATTAATGGTAGTGGTAACAATTGATGGTTAATGAATGGTACTGGTACTGATAACTAATGGTTATAGGGGATTATATACTGATGGTAAATGATGGTGAATCATTACTAATGTGGGTAAACAATGCCAGAAACCAGCCCCATTTTTGATGGTTTATACCACCTATAAAAATGGTGAAATTTGGGGATGGTTATTATTCCAGAAACAAGCCATGACTGGGGAATGGTAACCATACCACCTAAATGGAGTGTATAATGTGGGTAAAACAATGTCATAAACCACCCAGTTCGGAATGGTTTTTACCGCCAGCAAAAAATGGTGATGAAATTGAGGGATGGATTGAGCTATTGTTTTACCCATATTTTGGACGAGAACATTGGCAGGTGCGCTGACATAGATCCGTGGTAGTGGGCCACAGGCTGCCACAGCTTTGTTTCAAGGATTTGTTTCTGGTGTGTTTGGCTGGTTTCTGAATTCGCAAAACCAAATAAATACCGTGCCCGTTCATGTTCTCCTGTCTCAGCTACACAATTACTCAATTCAAACATGCCCATGCCGCGAGTTCAGCTCGGCTCACCTACAAATGCAGGAAGTGATCTAGGTTAAAAACAACGTGCATAGATATATCTCTCTCCATAGCCATCCCGAAGGTTCAGCTAAGGCTGAGGGCGAGCTGGTGGCCCAGTATATATACATATATAATGTATATACATAATATATATATGTATAATATATATATATATGTATATATATATATATTATATATATATGTAAATACACATATACATGTATAAATATAAATATATATATATATATTTACATATGTATATATATATACATGCATAAATATGAATATATAGAGTCCAGTATTCAAATGATGCATGTGGCATGTGTTTTATTCCCTTGCTAGAGTTGATCTTATTTTTTGATGTTCGTTCAAAGAGTGCTTGTCCTACGGCCCGCCCTGGCCCACACCAAGACCCAAAAGGCCCAAGTGTCAAGCAGAATTTCTCCAGCTCAACGCCGCTCCTGACGGAAATAATGCAATTCTTGTGGAATTTTGTTGGGGAAACATCCGGCAATGTGATTCAGTCATTGGCCCTTCGATCATGCAAAACGATGTTCTCGTATGTTCTCGTTATTCCTTAATATGATTTGTGAGTTTCGTTAGCCGCAAGACTAGTTGCTGCAAGCCTATTGCCGCGAATTGTTCTTGGGACCCCATCATCCCAAAATTCATGTTGCGAAGATTTGGTTGGAGTTCCTGGGATTCTCATTGATTCCAAACCACCAAAATCGGGATTCGGGGCACGAGCGTGAAGCCAAGGCGCACTAAAAGTCCCAAACTTTCCACCAACCTCTTGAGATCTTGGCGTCGAACTTTGGCAATCTTCTTCAGCTCATCCTGCAAAACATCCGACTGGGTCCATATGGATGTTGTTTTCTACTTGAGCGCTAGGGGTGGTTCACAGATTATTCCTTTAAAATTTGATCCCACTAACATACAAATGTTCACCACATATACTGGTACTATACAAGCGGCATGAGGATTAACATCTAATCTTACCTCTTCGGACCATATAGGCATCGGACTGAGGATCAGAACTTTTGATAACTTTTGCTGGTGCATCTACATGCATCTACTGATCCCTTTTGTCAATTTTGCCCTATAACCTATAGCCTATTGGGACCCGTTTGCTCCTTAGATTCCCTAACAGGGTGGTGCCCCATAGTTAGCTAAGTTGGTGTACAACTACGATAGCCAGGATTTATGGTAGATATATCTATATATGGTTAAATGGGCTTTAAAAACCAAAAAATAGAACTGGGGACACCACCTTGTACAGACATCGTATAGGTTATTTTTGCTGCTCTCCATGGATAGTCCAGGCATGTCCTATGTTTGACGACACCCTTGCAGGTAGCCTTAGATTTGACCCAAAGGTCCACCATAAACCCTAGTTAGTGGAGCTATAAACCTTAGCCAATATAAATCAGCTACCCATCCCCATTCTTGTGGGGTAAATCCGGGTAAATCATCATATTCCATCAATTTTGATGGTTAAGCATGGTTAAGCTCAATCTTTCTCTGCAGTCCTGCTTTCTCTTCTCCTCGTCCGCGAACTTCTCTGCGAGCTGCTGTGCCACACTACCCGGCAATGGGGCCTCCGACCCCACCCCGTCCGCTGCCGTGGCCGCTGGTGCCGAGTCGACCTTTACAGGTGGCTCAGCGGGGGCCTTCTTCAGGGAGACCCAGCGCAGGCGCGGGTCGTTCTGCCAAGCGAGGTCTACGATGCGCATGAGCCGAAGCCTAGGAGTGGGATGGAGATGGTGGTTGCTTGGGAAGAACAGGTGAATACTATTGGTGAATCTTGGCATTTCTTCAAAAAAACTTTGAAGGTTTCTGAATGCTCACCCGTTTGCAGAAGAATTCCTCAAGTTGACATGATGTTTGGACAACTATTCATGCACAATGGTCCATTGTGAATAAGATCCTCGTGTACGCCTGACCAGTGGTGAGTAGCCAAGTTAAACTACAAGGATGTACCTCTACTAGACTTACACATGATTATATATATGTGTGTGTATATATTATATATATACACACATATACGCATACCAATGGTAGGTAAAATCCAGTCTGGGCCCGAACTCCCTTCCAGCGGGGCAGGCTGACCGGGCTGAATGTTTGCGGTTTTGTTGTGCAATGATCTCCATGCTTGTGATCGCTCTCCTGTTTCCACTGTGTTTCTGACTTGACACAAGTGTTTGCAGCTGGTGCAATGGCCAGGGTATGTATGTTGACCGATTGTCACAAATCTACGGCCTATCACAGTGACCCATGCATGGGCACGGCCTGCCTGGCTTCTGAACACGAAACCACAAACTTTCGAATCACCAATGTTGCTTCTTATCTGAATGTCTGTCAGGCGTTTTGTGCCTTGGACGCTAGGTGCTTGGTTCATTAGCAGGTCGAACGAGCTGCCGACATGGCACTTCCCAACCGATCAGCTGAGGTTTGGACGTTGCGCAAACTGTATGTTGAGCAGTCGGATGCTTTGCACTCGCCATGGATGGCACCCAAAGTTACTTCCAGCATCAGCCCTGCGCGTGCATGCATCGAGGCAACTGAAGCCGGTGAATGAGCTGATAGTTCCAATACGAAGGGCCCCCCTTTTCCATGCCGTTGCAGTGGCAGCAGTTGCTGGGCATGACGTTGGAGGCTACAAGTTTCAGTCTATGGACATCGTTTGGTTGAACTGACCAACAACTGGTCCTTTCAGGCATGGGGCGATATCCGATCAAAGAGCACCTGGCTGTTGGGCACTTCTTGCCCATGGCCACTCCAAACGAAAGCTTTTTTTGGCTTAGGGGCGCAAAGACATCATATGCCTGGGCCTTGCGATTTAGCTTGGAACAGGTCAGAGATAGTGGGATCTAGCAGAACATGAAGACGAGATTCTTGCCGGCAATGCAAGGGCACTCCTTCCTTCAGTTGCGGATGACATGGAGATCAGTGGTGATTGGGGCCCCAGTCCCATTTGGTTTCATTCCTGGCTATCCTTAGCTCTTTGGACTGGCAGCTAGGTGTGGTTGACTTTTCTCCTTTGGCACGCAGTGAGTGGTGGGCAGCTCCTGCCTGGAAGAGGTTTGCTCATCTTAAACGTGGTGGTCTTGTTCTTCACACTGGCCTTGCCATTCCGTTCGTTTGTGCATTCATGCTCTAGCTGGCAGCCCTTAGATCACTTGCATTGTGTTCTGCGGCAATGGTATCATGTCTTGGCCATGCTGTTTCGATTAGTCAACGGAGGTAATTCGCTCGGAACCGCTGGAACCGCTGAGCGGTTGAATTGCAGGTTGATGCTGATTCCACTTCAGCTATTCTCGACGACGCAGCTGCCACCCGTGCAGCTTGCTACTACACCGGGCGGTCGCCTCTGTTCGGCCGAGTTGACGTGCCATCCAATTTTTAGGTGCTAAAAGTGCTGTAGAGATCCTTGAAAGCTCCTGCAGCTATTTGCAGGTTGTACGACAGTAACACTTGCAGGAGGGAACCAATCCATGGGTCGGTTGGAGATTCATGGCGCTGGAATGGCACTGGAATGGAAGAAAAACTCATGGAAGAGGTACCATGTTTGCATTCAGGGTGCTACAAGTACAACATCCTATATTTGCATGTATGTGATTGTATGTGCATGCATTGATGTACAATAAACATAAATGAAAAAACAGGTACTTCCAGCATGACATCATCTCCAAATGGCAACCAACTGGCACCAATGCGTGGCATGCAATGAAGATCTCTTTGCTGAGTTCCTCTGGGTTTCCTATTGATTTCATATGGTTTCCTCTGGGGTTTCCTCTGTGATTTTCTCTGGGTTTCATAGGGGTTTCCTATGGGTTTCCTATATGGATTTCCTATGGACTTATTTTTCTGGCAAGAAACCGCTCTTGTGCGTCAAATTGCTTCCTGATTTGTTCGTTGTGCTTTTGCCTGGCCCTGCGTTCATGTCGCGAGCAGTCCTGGCGCAAAACAGGCTTGGCGATGGGCCAGCCTGCGATAGAAAGTTATATATATATATAAATAATACAGGATGGGGCCCCCCAGTTATAAATTGGTTTATAAACCATTATAATCCCCATTAACTATAGTTATATCTACCATAAACCATTGAATTCAGCCATTTTGATCCTGTTGGGCTGTGGAAATCCCCACATGGTCATCTATAAACCATAGTTAAGCCACTTATAAACCAACTTAGCTATCTTGGGGGCCCCATCCTGTATAGAGCTTTAAAAATGATTACAAGGTGAGGCTCCCCTAGTTATAAGCTAGTTTCAATGGCCATTTCAGATACCTACACTAGAGGTACTGTATTTTGGGGGTATATCTCCTCACATAGCCCTTACATGGGCCTTGCACAGACCTTATATGGTAGGTACCTCCAATAAATCGGTTCCTGAAGTGGCCACTGATAGTTATATAATATAGTTATAACTTATTACCTTGACATGGAGGATCTAACTATACTTACTGTAATTAATGGATTCTGGTTGTTGGTTAACCCATGAATACTATAGTTATATCCTCCATCAACGCTATAGTTAACCAAGGCAAATGTGCGTCAACTTAGCTATCGTTCGGGGGCCTCATGTTGTACCTAGTGGGAGAGACTGGAGCCGAAGTTTTTCACCAATCCTGACTCTGCGGACGTTTTTTTTTTGGCAGGTACACCTTTGCATGTGTCCGTGCACCCATGTCACAAACAATCAAACAGCAGGTACTACCTGGACCTACAGAACTTGGAGATATGAAGGGTCTTGATGTATCTAGAAAGACAGGCTTTTTTGGTGTGATATCTCAAGTACTGCTATGCCCCATGGCAACCACCAATGGTAACTGCAGGCAGTTAACCCTCCTCAAACTGGATGCGTTCAGATCCCATTTTAGTGACCCAACAATGGCTAGCCTGGCTAGCGATATCCCTGGACCCCTGTGGGTAGTTCCATTTGGGGATAGGTTAATCATCCAAGATTCATCATTTCCAGTGGGGATCCAGCTTCAAAGTATGCTTAAGTTAGCACATATAGTCTTAGTGTGTTTGTATTCTAAAGTAAGAACACATACTACCCTTCGATCCTTCGCTAATTCAACATTGCTATGGAAGATGGCCCAATGATGACTTACCTATTAAACAATATTAAAGATATCCAAAGATGGTGATGTTCCATAGCTATTATGTTGAACTACCAAAGGGATCCAGGTTGGGTAAATCACCATGGCTACCAATTGTAATTGTTGATGGTTAATCCATGTTAATTTACTGTAAATTTATCAATCCCAAATCTCCCATCATTTTTTGCACAAAAATCCCAAATTTCAAAAAAAAACATGATTCTTGATGGTGAAATCACAACAATCCCAATATGTCTACCATGTTTTCCCTTTTTTTGGGACATCTTAGACATCTTCTCCTGGATGTCTTCGAGCTCCAAAGCGTGTTTTTCCAAAAACGCCACACTCACATCGCGCCAGCTCTCGAAATTGTACCAATACCTAGGGCCCGCCCAAGGGCTGTGAACCCAGCGATGGTAAATGGAAGGGATTTCATGAGACCTTCATAGGTTTCAATACGGTTTTAATGGGATTTCAATGGGCAATGAATGGGAGAAGATACATCGGATGTGTCTGCAAAAAAGGTATTCACCCTTCATGGCCTGTTTTTAGGGCGGAAGATTATGATCAAGCAGTGGATTTGGCGAGACTGGTGACACTCTCGTATTGACAATTTTTGACCTACATGACTGGGTCATGTGTGGATCATTTTTGGGTAATGTTGCGAAACATGCCATATCTTACCAAATGTGGAGCATTTGGGTATCTATCAGTTTATTGGGATACAAAAGTCTATTTACCTCTCTGTCTGTCTGTTTGTCTATCCGTGCGTCTGACTAGTCTAGCTGCCTTTCTTCTATGTATATGTCCGGCATATTTGTTTGTCTATTAATCTTTAATGCCTACGACTGACTGAACATCATCGGTGGATTTTCCAGCCATGTTTGATTATCAAATGGTATAAAAACATATAAAAACACTCTTGAAATGCCACAATCTCATCCAATCTCCATTTTGGCCCGGCTGCTCATAGAAGTCATACACCTTCTCTAAGTCTGAATCTGCAGCACCCAGTTCGGGTACTGGATCCGCACCCTCCGAGAAGCGGGCGTTCCGTTGGAACACCTGCGGCACTTCGCCCCTGCCCTTGATGGGAACTGTGAATGGGGTGGGCTGAGGTCGGCAGCATGTCTTGCTTGTATGGTATCATGTTGGTCAAATCCCAGTCTTTGTTCTTTGACTCACAATTTTTTTATGGAACCCATAGGATCCATGTATGCTATATATGGTAACATTTACCATTAATATACCCCCAATGTTAGCATATATACCATACATGGATCCTATGGGGAAAGAAAATGGAAGAAACATGAAGAACTCCCATTTGTCACTGCGTCATCCCCAAACAAAAATGGCTACAAAGTAGTTGCAATTCGCAGAAGCCACATCCATGTCAGCAGTATTTAAAACCAAAAAATAGGACACGAGTTTCCCAGCTCCAACCAAGTTCAACTTCTAGGGTCATGACAAATTTCCTTCATCACCCCTCCCCCCCAAAAAAAAAACAAAGGGAATGGCTTTTCATCGCGCAAGGTGATGCCACCTAGTTATGTTTGTTGGTTTATAAACACCAGTTTTATATATATATATATATCATACTATTTATATAATCCCCCTTGAAATTCGCCCTGAGACGATGAGAGCTCCATTCTGTAGGGTGCCCAGCCTATCCCCCTACAAAATGGTATGGGGACACCTACAAAATGGTAGCACCCATGGGGGTTGCTGCCTACAATATGGTGGCACCAGGGTACCCCACCTGCCCACCAACATCAAATATTTTGGGTTAACATAGTGTCCAAAAAAACTGTGAAAAATGGGAGAACCATTTTGTAAGACACAAAGCAACCCTGTGGTCGCACCCTGGTCTTTTTTGGGCGACCAATTTGTAGACAGTTTACTCTGAATGAAATTTCTTGTTAAAATCTCTCAAGCAATCCTTGCATATCTCACATTTTTGCATCTTGTGCATCTGGCAATCGGGTTTCATAAAGTATCGTCCAACAGAAGTAGTCAGATAGACTGGACCGAAGTAGTGGTCATCGCGTTATTTTTCTGGACCGGGGCTGGTTTCAAAATTTTGGAGGCTTTGAAAACTTTGCGATCATCTCCACCACACACTTTCTAAGTAGGATCCCCATTGCCAAGCCTATTGCAAAGGCAGCCACCACAATCCCCTCCAACAAACCCATGTAGCTTGGCACTCGAGATTCTTACAAAATATGTCTTGAACCAGCATGAACCAGCTACAAAATGGTAGTGCCAGAGTATCATGAACATGCTTGTGGATGTGATGGCGCCCTTCCATTTTGTAGACAGATTGTTTGTTCTGGATGGTTCTGGAGGGCCCTTGAAAGTCATAAAAAGAACATCTAGCTTTCCTCCCCCTTGAAATTCGCCCCGAGAGGATGGGCCCACCAAAGTGTAGGGTGCCCAGCCTACCCCCCTACAAAATGGTATGGGGACACCTACAAAATGGTAGCACCCATGGGGGTTGCTGCCTACAAAATGGTGGCACCAGGGTACCCCACCTGCCCACCAACATCAAATATTTTGGGTTAACATAGTGTCCAAAAAACTGTGAAAAATGGGAGAACCATTTTGTAAGACACAAAGCAACCCTGTGGTCGCACCCTGGTCTAACCGCTTTTGGTTGGCTCAGCAGTGCCGGCCGCTTCCCCCAAGCCCTCGAACTAGCTGATTGTCAGTGGCCATGCTGCGCTTTCACATGGCGTTCCTGCTGATCGTGGGATTGGTTGGGGAAAGCATCAAGGTGGCTGACGACACAGCCACACAGACGCCAGAGGAATAGCATCTTGTCTTCGAACGTGACTGATTGGGACAGTTGCCAGGAATAGGACAACTCCAAGAATTGGTCTAGCACGTGGTACCGCTTCTGCACCCGGCAAGACAATTTGTGTTGTTCTGGTTTGAACCACCTTAGTAAAAGAACATTGGGTAACCCATTGCAAACTCTGGCCAGCTAGCCCATACCAGTCTACAAAATGGATGGTCCCTATTCATAGACTACATGGTCTAACTATTTCTGTATCCCACCATTTTGTAGCTGCCAATGGAAATGCCCTACCATTTTGTAGCTCCAAATGGAATTGGTAAAAACAAACACGTTTCCTTGTTTTTTTAAAAAAACTGCGCCCAATTCTTGAAGTGTCTTTCTTGGAGTTGTCCTATTCCTGGCAACTGTCCCAATCAGTCACGTTCGAAGACAAGATGCCATTCCTCTGGCGTCTGTGTGGCTGTGTCGTCAGCCACCTTGACGCCTTCCCCAACCAATCCCACGATCAGCAGGAACGCCATGTGAAAGCGCAGCATGGCCACTGACAATCAGCTAGTTCGAGGGCTTGGGGTAAGCGGCCGGCACTGCTGAGCCAACCAAAAGCGGTTGATATTTTTGTGTTCAAATATATTTACATTTGTGGATGTATTTATCAACTCCTCTTACCCATCTACAAAATGGTATTCCACATCTTCTACAAAATGGAGGTGCCTGAAACTGGCATATGATCTTGTTCTCATATAAAGTTATGTTGGGTGTTTATAAACAGGTCTTTTTCTACAAAATGGAGTGCCCCGACGGCACCAAAATTTCCATAAAAACTATTATATATATATACCACCCGTGACCCACAGTTACTCGCTATCGTTGGAGGGCCTCACCTTCCACGTTGTCTGAAAATTTGGGATGCCAAGTTACTAACATGATATGCTAACATGATATACTAAGTTAATGTCAACCCTGGATTAATAAACCATGGTTTATTAATTAGGGGGTACTCCTCCAATAGTCATAATCTGATACTTAAATGGTCTCCTCCCAATTCAACAACCGTAAACGGGGTTTATTCACCCAGGGTTGCTAAGTTAACCATATAGTTCTTAGTTCACCATACTTTTTTCAGATATGTATCCTCCACCAGCGGATCCTTCAAAACCAGAGTGATTCCCTGGGGCCCGGCCGCGGCGTACCCGCGGCCTTCTCGAGGGTCTTGAAGAAGCCGCGGCTACGAAGCTCCGAGCGACTGGGGATGGAATCGTCGAAGGGCAGCGTGCCTATAGCGGGGGCCCGCCCGGGAGGCGGCCCTGGGGGCCCGGTAGTTCTGACCATGGAGAACAATGGAGAACCATCATATCATATATATATATATATCATATAATACTATATGATTTTTTAACAAATTATATCAAATTATATGTATAGATCCATAAATATTGAATCTGTTCTATTCCCTATGGTTCAATAACCATAGAACATATTGCAATATTTATTTCTGTATAAATAGTTCTAAAGTGTTCTAAATGGGATAACCATAGAGACAAGGTTAGTAACTAAGCAGGTTTAGTAACTGACAACTGGGGTTAATGAAAACCCATAGATGGGATAATTAAGATAAGCCACTGAATGGGGACTTACTAATTGTAGCGTTACGTTCACCAGTTACTATGTTAGATGATCCTCCTCGTATGGTGAAGGTTTATTTCACCCCAGAAGGGGAAAAACTACGCAGAAACTATGGCGAAAATATGGGAAAACCAATTGATCATCAAACCAACTGGAACAGGGAAAAACATCTTGAAAATGACACATGTTTGAAACCACCAACCAGGGTTGAAGTCACTTCAAATTTAGCCTTAAACAGTGATCAATTGAGCTTTGTGGATGGCAACTTGTGCAACCAAGGACGCCACCCGGCTCTCCTGAGGAAAATACCTTCAATATCATTCAATAATAATTGGATAGGCTAGGTGATACACAGGTGATACATGGACGCGGAAAGCAACCACGCATTTACCGATAGAACTGCAAAAGAACATGACCCCTGAAGAGACATCGCAGCACTGCAAGCGAACCCACCAAGGTGCTATCGTAGATCTGCTTGTTCCTGAGGCGGTGGAACTATCTGTCGGGGGAACATGGGTAGATTAACCCCACCTAAGTGAAAAGCAAACAAGCTGGCAAATGGATTTGATGGATGTTGATTGCCCATGGCAGGATCGGTTGCTCAACAAGTCCAAACTGGCAACGTACAAAATGATAACCACAAGAATCGCTTGGAAATGCTTGGAAGGACTGCTGTTTTTTAATATGTTTGCTCCCGTTTGCCACCGGTTCCTGGCAGTGATCTACAAATGATGTCTGTAGGATTCAACCGGGGATATGTGTTAGAGCAGGCGTTTGAAGACGGAATATCTATACAAAGAGTGTCTACGGCTTCGTTGCATACAAAGGTGCCCTATGACCGCCCATGATAGTGGTCAAGCAACCCGGTAAGGCTACGTGCGGGGTCGGGCGTTATCATATTATCAGTATACTTAACTGGGGTCTGGCCATGGTGACCAACCACGTTCCAAAGTGGGATGCATAATCGAGTAGCCCTTCTACAAGTTCAAGACAGGTGGGATACCGGGTACTGCCTGGTGACTAACATAACCGTGGAAAATCACAATTTTTAATGGGTAAATCCACTATAAATCACCATTTTCAATAGCTATGTTAAATTACCAGAGGGTATATGGTATAATTACCACTGACCGAGCAGTCTCTGAGAACAAGTCTTTGAAACCAGCTGAGGCAGAGCAAACAAACGCCTTTCAACAACTATACTACACTGGAACGGCTGCGAAATCGCACTGCTTGCATCCCGTGTTCGTTCCATTGAAACACACAGTTGTCTTTCCACCATTTTTGAAGATAGATAGATAGATAGAAAAATGAATACATGGATAGACACATAATTATAGGATAGAACAATAAATAAATAGCGACCTATTAAATATAGCAATATTTTTTTTCTATATTCAATTCAAGCCGATTACTAGATGTAAACGATAGATTGGAATATATAAATTCAGAAAATCATAGAAAATCAATAAATCATCATCAGTGCTTTCTGAAACACATCAGTGCCATCATCGTACTGCCAGGCGCCCACTTTTCTGACCGCGGCCATAAAAAGGTCGCCCCAGGAAACCACCGAAAAAGGCCATGTCACGTGACATATTCGTGGTGGTCACGGTGTAATCGTTTCAGTTTCAATGCGGAGTATTGGGACTACTCTGCATTGAAACTGACTCGGTTACACCATCACTGCGAGTCACTACTACAATCTGTAACAGGTGACCGTACGCCGTGCAGAAGTCTCAGAAATCCATGGTGCCTTCGTAGGCCTGTAGAATGACTCCAGAATGACTGGAAACTGTCACACCATGGAATCAGGACAGAAAATCTTCTTCATAAAGCTCCACTCTGCCCAAACCGATCTTTGCCGTTTTGCACTCAGTCTGGACTGCTTGAAACCCATGGTTTCATAGAAAGCGATCGCTTTGTGACTCCTCAGTGCGACCATTCAGGAGATCTCATTGACCAACCACGGTGGTTCCGAGGATGGTCGCAGGTCGCAACCGATCCATCATCCAGGACCAGCTGCTCTTGGTTTGGAAGTGTGTCATCTTAAAAAGCAGCCGTGTTTCCCCATGTCACCAGTGAACCACCTTTCAGCCTTGCATCAAATGCGCCATGCCGCCATGCCCATAATCTGACGCACACTCCTGAGCTGTTACCGTTGGGTTGCGCGTGAGCTGCGCGTCACCGAGCTGACAGCAAGAATTCTCCTGGGTGATGGTTCAGCCAGCCACCTCAAGAAAAGATGTCATTGCGGGTGAATCATCTCAGCTTTAGGGGTGGAGAACAAAACAAACAGAACATATACAGTATGTGTATTTTCACTTGGACTAAGCATGACACACACATAATGATGACACAAACATAATAATTATAATGTCTGGACTGAACAATCAAACACACAGGCAAGCACAAAAGGCTAGTTTAAACCACAAAACTACAGTAATTACTTGACATGGGTTTGTCATGGTTTGTCTAAACATGATGCATACTCCCCCATTTTGGCTATTTAGTAAGAAACATTGTGATCAATCATTAGCTAATTGGTGGTTTCAACCCCACTGAAAAATATTAGTCAGATTGGATCATCATCCCAACTATTGGGGAAAATAAACAATGTTCCAAACCACCAACCAGTTATGATCAATCATTAGGCTTAGGGGTGCCTTATATTTTTCAGACCCACATTTTTGTGCTCTCAGCCAGTGATCCTGAACCTTGGAAGACTCTCGAGCCAAAAGTCGACATGGCGTGGGTGACCCGCCGTCGGTGCCTTTGGTAGAGCCAACCCAACTACCATCCAACTACCATGATCTTACTTCTGGAGCGCTGGACTTCTGAATCCTAGAGTCCTAGAGTCTGTCTTGATTATCAGGTCATAGTTTTCCCAGCCAAGTCATGTTGATGAACCATGTTCAAAGCCTCTGGTGCCAAGGGAACAAGCATGGTTTTCACCCCAGAAGAGACCTTCTTAAGGTCAGAAGTTGATCCATTTATTAACTAATTGGACAAACAGTGGTAAACCTAATAGTATTTTCATAGCAAGCATCCCTCTCTGAAGAGTCATAAATGGGGGGAGGTCATGACAGGACAGCCAAAATCTGAACGTGCCATCATTCTCTACCGAGGAGCTCAGGGTCTGAGAGGTATTCATATGCCTCTTGGATGAGTTGAAAGGCGAGGCTTTTACTTTCCTGGCATGGAAAGTGCCCCTGGTGCCCCTGCTCTCACCGAAGGGCAACCGCATGCCCGTTCTGACTTGTTTCCATCGTACTTTTTTTTGGGGGGGTGAATAAGTGAAGAAACTATGAAACTATGAGACACTATGAGAAACTATAAGAAACTATGAGGTTCTGGCCCACACTGGCAGTTTTTTTTTTGATCTCCGTTGTGCAACCGCACGGGCACCAAGAAGAGCTGCCTTCTTGTCTGGATGGTGAATGAGAACCAGTTTCCTATAAGCATCCTTCACCTGGCAGCGGCACAGGTCATGACTTCACCGACCACAACTCCAAGCCTCTCTCCCTCTCTCTTCATCGGCCATGTCCAATTTTAGAAAAACCCTCTTCCAAACCTAGTAAGTAAAATGTTCCTGCCGGATTCAAATATTATGAGTTTCCTGGTCCCATTCATAAACATGTTCAACATGCAACAACATGCTGCAAATGAAGAAAACAACATCATCAAATGCGGGGAGATTTTTGGAACGCACGGCATTGGGGCATTGACAAGTGGCAGAATGTCCACCATTCTCCACGAGGTTGTGAAATATTCTAACAATAATACCCTATGTATCCCTATGTTGGTAATTCAATAACTAAATTTCTGAACTAATCACCCGAATGTTTGAAAGAAACTGAGAAAGCATTGAAGAGTCCTCTCAAATTCAACAGTGGTTTTCTTCTCAGAACAATTTTCCGTAACATGCTCTGAGCATGGCCCCACTGGATATTCCCACACATAGGCCAAGTGACCATACACAAGAGGTGGGTGAAATGAGGTATCACACGGAATTCGTTGTTATCAACTTAAACTTACTGGTGCTTAGTAGGGAATGGATGGGAATGGGGGTTGCTGGGATTATTATTAATAGTTAATATAGTTATTATGGATCATTCCCGAAAATTATGAAAATTCCTTATACGTTTAGCACCAGTAAGTAAATCACAACCCCACCTGCGAAAAACTTCTTTGGTGGCCCTTTGTGAATGGTGTACCATTTTCCCCCAAGACCGTCATGTCTCCGGAGTCTCCTGGTCCATGCTGGGAAAGCCATCCACCAGGTCCACGTTGATCTCCAAGAGCGTGTAGAGTTCGACACCTCCGCAGCTCACCACAACTCATGGCCGTCATGGCCATCAGCTCGGATGGTTCCGAGCTAAGTCATTCCCGGACCGAACCATGCAGTCAGGTGATGTCAGGTGTTTTTTTCAAGGCATTTTGCCACCATGATTGATGCTGGTCAATCTCCATGCTGTTTTAGTGCCCACTTAGTTTATACCAAACAACAACTTGAAGAGTAGTCAGTCCCCTAAAGAACCAATGAATGCTCCGCCCCGACTTGCACATAGAGATATGTATCGCATTCTACGCCACATTTACACGAGCCGTTCTCTTTCTTTCAGCGAGCTATGAAGTCAAAGAGTGCGCTCTACATTGACATAAGCACTACAAACGAAACACAAAATAAAGTAATTATAATCTAAATGGAATAAATATGTGTATGCAGTATCTGCAGCAAACATTGAAAACAATGAACTACATGTTTTTTTTAAACCATGAGTGTTCCCCTACTCTTACTTACACTGTATATATGCACATATCATATTCACACACACATATAAAATATATATATATGGGTAATTATATTATAATATGTCACTAGCCTGAATAGTTCGGCAATTTGGGGATGATTTCCCTAACAGGCTTCGTTGTTTCAGTGACGTCGTTATAATTTACCCATACATACATATTATATATATATATATATCATTATATATCAATATTCTGGGTTGGTATACCAAAAACAGAGTATATAAGTTACGTTTTGGTTCTGATCATGGGAGATGATCTCGGTTCCGAAGATGTTCCAAATGTGCGGCAGTTTGTAGATCATCTACTATTTGATAAAGTGCATGATTATTATATACCCACAACTCTCAGAAACATCATCAACATAATTAAACATATGAAATTGAAATCACAAAACATCCAAATATTTCATTCCAAAAAGAAACTGCAGATTACTCGCCTCGCAATCTTCTGCTCAACTCCTTTCCTGGTCGCAACTTGGAACGTCTTTCCTTGGCACTTCGCGAGCTCATCATGGCAGTCCCCTGCGTCTTGGGTGGTTCCAACTCATTAATTTCAATCAAGTGTTGACGGAAACTTGAAGTTGTTGCATATCACCAAACACATGGAACACATTTTCCTGTACTGAAAATCCATGAAAATCCTACTTTTGAGAATCGGGATTAAAAACCTAGATCCCAATGGTTGGTGCTTACATCCAAGCCTATTCTGTTTGTATGGCTAAAAAACATGCTGGAACACACACATACACAAGAATCATGCAAACATCATCAAACATCCACATTGGTTGAAGATGGTTGAAGTATGAACCCAGGATCATTTTATGTTTCAATCCTCATTTCCGGGTTCCATCATGTTCAACCCCAGTTTTTGGCAGAAAAAACAAACACATTTCTGAAACTTGTGAACTTGATATAGAGGAGTGGAATGTTTCATGCTTACATGACATTAAATCAACATGCATTTGGATGATTAAATAGCTGAATCAATTGCTTAAACCTGACAAGAATCCAATGTTTTTCAACAGCTAGATCCCGATTTTTTAAAAAGGTACATCAATCCTATAGATACTCTGCTTTAATAAAAGGCTGGTCACAAGACGTCACAAGGATAACAGGTTGGTCCAGGTTGGTGGTTTTAACATGGATTAATCCGTGTCACCAATATGCTCGTCATATCAAGCACTCATCCCAAGCATGGTTGCTCCCAAGGACCCAGGTACAAGGATTGGTAAATTGATAAGTACTGTGGATGGTTGCGAAATCCTGCACCACCGAAAGAATGGTTGAAACCCTATCAATAAAGGGAAAAAACTAACAGGGGAGTTTCAACAACCGTCAGCTGGTGCAGGATCTCTTCCATCCCCTCTTGTGGCTATCTGGAGGTTTCCTGAAATAGGGCTACCCCCATATCATCCATATCATCCAGAGATGAATTGAACAAAACCATCCAGCTATAAAGGTACCCCCATGACCATGCCCCCATCTAATCCAAGGTGCTGCACGTTCCTGACAGCGCTGCAAATATGGCTTCGTCCTCCGTGGGCATGACCTATTGTGCACGCTAACGCGGCTGCCACTCCGCACCTGAACCGGACATGGGAGAGGGAGGTTTTTTGTCCGCCTGGGAACATAGCTACCCCTTGAAAAAGAAAAAAACACATATTCATTATACATCATTATACCATATCATACCTTTTATTTCATCTATACCCATCATACCCTGTAATCTTATGTTTGTTGGAGCTCACTATTCAAAATTTGGTTAGGGGTTATATAGTAGTACAATCCAAATGTTTGATGAAATTTCTGAAATAATGCATTTGACACATATTAATTTTGTATGATTCAAACATCTTAAAACAAAATAACCAGCCATCATCCAGAAATGTACATATGATATATATATATATATATGTATATATTGATATGTATCCAATGTTTGCTGCATGTGTAGAGTCTTTGGGTCAATTTGGGGTTGTCAAAAAAATATTATCCGGTGCCTGAGTCGGATACAAGCACTGAGTAGGTACCACATTTTACGGCGCAGTACCCCTATTTAAATCATTAGGTACCTGAAAAAACCCTGAAATGAACACTCTCTAGTAGCGATGGAACATAGGAGCATAAAAGAAGAAGGGCAAGAGCAAGATACAAAATGAAGAAACGGCAGGATTATCAAAGAGACCAGTTCCGAAGCTGGATTAAAAAATATGTATAATATAAATAGATATAATATATATATATGTGTGTATTAATTGTTATATTATTATATATTATATTATATTAAAAACATAGGAGGTCTTGATGTGGGGGATTCATTCTTAGAACGAACCCCTTGATACATAGGGCTTTCCAAGGTGGATACTATGGGGATACTCATTCATCGGATCTCTGTGAGGTCACGCGTGTCGAAGAAGCGCACGCAAAGCGGGTTTTATGTTTAGATATTTACTGATAGTTACCCTCTGGTAAACTAACATAACTATGGGAAATCACCATTTTTCATGGGACAATTTCACTATAAATGGTGATTTTCCATATTTATGTTAGTTTACCAAAGGGTAATACTCCCTTGCCAACCACTTCTGGTCCATAAGGTGAGTCCCGACGTTTTTTGTCGCGCCTCCTCCTTGAGGGTCACTGGGCCCTCCGGAGCGTCAGCAGGTCGAAAGCTCTCCATGCAGCGCTCATAGCCCTGACAGAAACAGCGGTGAGCCTGAATATATGGGGTTTCCATAGTCATGGGGGTACCCCAATGGCTGGGTTTAGTTCAAAATCCACTCTAACATCCTATGAAAATTGATATAACCAAATGGGGGTACCACCCTTTTCAGGAAACCTCCATTTCATGATATATCCAAATTTGATCACCATTTCAATAGGGGAAAAAGACAACTTGGAAATGAAACAACTGGACTTCGGGACTTTGGGGCATCTGAAAATATTGGACACAGCTTCACAGAATTCCGCAGGGTCACCTCAATGGCACCCTGGCCTTGGCCAGGGATAAAAATATCCTGTCGATTTGGGCGTTTCCTATAGACTGCATCAGTGTTTTCAGGTCTTCCCAGTCAGGCCAATTCTCCCTGGCTCGGGCTTCAAATCATTCTAACAGAGGATTTCTTTTTTTGCACAACATCCCCCCAAAAACACATGGAACAGAAAAAAGAAGCACACAGTAATACCCTCTGGTAATTTAACATAGCTATTGAAAATGGCCATTTATAGTTGATTTTCCAATTAAAAATGGTGATTTTCAATAGCTATGTTAGTTTACCAGAGGGTATCTCCAAGAAAGTCACAAAATCATCAAAAAATCCCAACTTTCATCCCGTCCCATCCCATCCCGCCTCCAGAAACGCTCGGCCAGCGCATTCCAAGGACTTCCGACGTACAGGCGCGGTGGAACTCACCACTTCTACAACTGCGGCAGGGTGCAGTTCAGCCAAAAGCCCATGGTGATCTTTAAAACCCCTCCAAGTACCATCAAGTACCTCGCAAAAATTGGGCTATATATATATATATATATATAGGATGGGGCCCCCCAGTTATAAATTGGTTTATAAACCATTATAATCCCCATTAATAACTATAGTTAATAGTTATATCATGTTATATCTACCATAAACCATTGTTAAGCCACTTATAAACCAACTTAGCTATCTTGGGGGCCCCATCCTGTATATATATTTATATATATATATATATACTTATTTATAATTAATATACCAACGTATTTTCTCAGTTTTTGGCAGTGTCATGGGTACTTGGAGGATCTAGGATGATCTATAGGTATAAATAATATACTTATTAAAAAATATTAGGAGCTTGCCAGCAATTGTTGACATTTTACCAGAAACATCGTTGATTGTCTGATGATCAATACATTGGTTGAAGTGAAACCCTAAAGGAAATCATTGCTTTTAACCAGGCAGATTGGGAATAACCATGTCTACAAGCGTGGGTTTGCCCAGTTTTTGAACAAAGAAGAGAAGCAACATGCGTGAAATCCTGAAAGGGTTCCTTGGTTGAGTTAATTGCGGCAAGCAATTATTGACTATATAACAGGTGGACATGATGATTGGCCATCGATAATACGATTCATCCGAAATATATTTGCCTGTATTGATGTACGAATGATAGGAAACACGTACTCCAGGACACAGCACTTACAGCGATGTTTCGAGCATTTTCACAAATTCCCGTCATGGATCTTAATGTGATACACATAGCAATAAACCATACCTTTGTCTTAACTCTGAGGGGTCTTATTACATAAACCTTCAAACATTTGGGTTCATTGTTTAATTTCAATGAACAAATAACAATACAGTAGTGCACAATTGTGTGTTGTGTCAAGATTTCATCCAGAAGCACATTTTTCGGGGAAAGTTTCTCTTAGCAAACCCTCTCCAACAACGAACGACCACTCTCAAACTTTGGTTTAGTCTTGAACCTGTGCATTTAGGGATTCATATGGTTTACCCTCTGGTAATTTAACATAGCTATTGAAAATGACCATTTATAGTGGATTTTCCCATTAAAAATGGTGATTTTCCATAGTTATGTTAGTTTACCAGGGGGTATTTTTCTTCAATCAAGCGGAAACATGTCTCTTATAGATTCTTATTGAACATTGTGTTAAGTCCAAAGACTTCCCTTAAACTTAACAAACACACAAGCCGATGCTCAGCCGATGCTCAGGTATGTTTCAGCTTTGCTTGTTATGGGTATTAGTTTGTTTATGATCTTTCATGAAAAGCTACATCTAATCCATCATGATTTCGGCTATGTTGGGAGGTTTAGCCCTAAAAAAAAACATACCCCTATAGATTAAGCCATAGTTACCCTCTGGTGAACTAACATAGCAATGGAAAATCACCATTTTTCATGGGAAAATCTACTATAAATAGCCATTTTCCATTGCTATGTTAGTTCACCAGAGGGTAAGGCACATACAAACCATTGATATTCACCCATGATCTTCCGGGTGGGCCTCCCGCATCACCATCCAGCAACGCAGGGCGGGCCCGCAGCCAGAGATCGAGCCATTCGAGGAACCTCAGCGTGCGCGTTCGGTCGCAATGCGAAATTCGAGAACTTTGATGACATTTGGTCTAAAAAGTGGATGAGTCATAATGATTCCTGATGATTTTGATTTTTCATTTGGTCTTGAAAGTGAATGAGAAATCAAGAAATGCGAAAAGAGAACTGAATGATTTTTCACTTTAAGTGCAAGATAATGAGAAAGCAATTTGACGACTGGCGCGACTAACGTTGATATTCTTTGTTATATTTTGATGGTATGATCTAATAGGAAGTGGACAAGACTCGGACTCCTTTGATTTGAAGATCATTGCATGGGGAAATGTCAGGGAAATTTGGGAAAACAAACATGCGTTTTTGAAGTACTTCAAAGCACCCAAATGCACAACAGGCGTTCTAGTCTACATATGTCTAAATCATTTGACACAAGGCATCCAGAATCAGGTGCTATCATCTTGGTGCTCAACTTTCTGTTGGCCAAGGGGCTGAGGTTCCACCGTCAGTGTTGCCTCTATCAGAATGCTGTCCGACTGGGTGGCTAATTCAGTGCAATCCTCAGGGGATGACGAATTTCCAGAGATCCGCCAAATATATATATATATATGTATATATATAATATATATATATATACATATATATATATATATATATACGTGTGTGGCCACCCCATTCCCATGTGTAGTGTTACGTGTTTTCTACCCATCTGAAGCATATCAGTGAATTGTGTTCCATCATCTTTCATCATCCCAGGAAGGAGGGGAGAACAGAGAAAAAGAGATGATTGAAACGCAGAACCAAACAAGCCTTCAATCCCACACCTTGTTACGGAAGTTTGGCAGTATGGAAGGTGCATGTGAAGATTCCGAGGTGAGGGCTGCAGCAAGAAATATGACGGGATGGGCTGTGATGGTGCCTTGATGAGGTGCAAAAATCATGAGTTTATATATAGGATTTTATAGGCACAACCATGTGCCAAACAGCAAGCCTGCGCCTGCGCCAGCAAGAATCGTTGAGGTTTCATCCCAACAGTGGGGACTTGATCAATATGATCAATAATCATGGGGTGACAAGATCAATAACAATCAACAGTTGACCAAGTAAGAGTGACAAGGACAGCAAATCAACGATCATGAGGGGTTGACTAAGAAGAAGCCACTAAGAGGTAACAAACTTGGAGTGCAACTAATGAACAATGCGTATCAGCAAACACTCAATGAAAACATATCCTAGCTGAACTTGCGGACAAGGATAGATCATCCTAGCTGCAAATCTCCTTAATGTTGGGCAACACATGGGCAACCCCAAAATATCCTCAAGTATCCTCACTTGAAATCGTACTGACTTACGGATAATAAACAAATCCGAAGCGATGGATTGAAATTTGGGTGCCAACATGTTCGACAAAACAAAGTGGGGCATAGGTGGGACTAATGATACTGTGGATGGAGGAAATCCTGCACCAGTTAATAGATGGTTTATCCCATTGTAATCCCATTATTTACAATGCATTATAGTTCCCAATAGTTACCAATTGGTGCAGGATTTCTTCCATCCACAGTAGCTACCAGCACTGCATTCTGAACGGGCTCCTTCTTGTGTTTCTTCCAATGCGCTCGTTGGCAGCTTCGGCTGCAGTACACCACCTAAAAAACGAGCCCAACAAACGATGTTGGCTGGTGATATGGGAGCTTGGTACAGGGTTCGAACTTGTATATATAATATGTGTTTCCCTATAGTAATAGTAATAGTATAGTAATAGTATATGTAATATGTGTTTCCCTATTCCTATAGTTCAAACAATGTTGGAAAATGTGACGAGACTGATGAGGTAAATTAAACCCAACCAAAATCAAACCAATCACAATCCCACTGAACATGCACTTGGGGGTCATGTCGTCCTGGCTCAAAATCGATGTTTGAAACCAGCCACTTCTAGATTGTGTATGTGAGGGAAGTTTAATCCCTACCAATCCAGCTGGTCATAGGATGTCATGATATCATAGGCTAAAAAATCTTGGGATGTTGTTCCATCCACTATGTACTGGGTTCATTGGTACCGTGTCTCGGTTGCTATACCCGATACCTGTGCTGTGCAGCCACATCACTGAGAGGAGTTACATCAAATCAATAGGACTAAGCACCAGAACGTAATAACACAACCAACCATGGGCTTTCTCTCAACAACATGCTGGAGATGCTGTCGTCAGCCTTGTTGTCTCATTGGCCCATCCTGTTTGGTCATTTTCTGGCATTAACCGAAAGAACCATCCACGCATGTAAGTGCAATGAAAAAACCACTCGGTTATCAGTATCTTTCCCACTAATTAACATTGCCATTCAAGCTGGAGCCTGAAAACATGATAAAAATGGGCCCCGAGCTGGTTGTTTTCACAGGATAATAGCCTAATATAGCCTATAATACTACATCATTAAAACCATTAGGTTCTCCAAGCCACGGATTTGCACTTGGAGCAAGTGAGATCTGCATCTTCGCTGCGTCCGCACTCCGCACAGCGCGGGCTATCGCATTGGAAGCGCCCCATGGGACGTACTGCGCGTGGGTGGAGTTGTTCTGTTGTCCCGGTAAATGGACCGGTGAGTGCTAGAAGCAACAACGGTAAGGACTGATCGTTGGAAAATTTGAAGAACCATTTGGAAAATCCCGAAAAACCAGCTGAAATTGATCTCAAGTGATCACAATATCCGATTATCCCGCTCACCAGTGCCTACAACTGTAGGGCCTAAAAATTGCGTGCTCCGGCCGGGCCAAGACGTTTTTTTGGGGCCCTTCTTCATGAGGGAATCCCTTCAAAGTGTGCATCCCATGATTAGGTACAGGTATCACTAAGAATTCCTATAAGCCTATAAGAAATCAAGAGCTAAACCGGGTAGCAATGGTTCCACCAGAAATTGCGAGTCCACCAGAAAAAACTCTCATGGAATGGGGTTTTGAAAAATTTGAGCTGTAGCCCTGGCAAATTCATGTTTTTTTTCCACCAACATCCTTCAACCATGGTAAGGATCAAATCTCTCCTGTCCCCATCTTTGGGGGATTTGCTTCAAAAATCACCTGAAAGTTGGTATCAGCTAGGCTCGGCTCGAGATATACCCAATAATTCAATAGTTGGGTCATGTGAGCCTTACATTATAGGCGCATTTACCAAGCCCTGTCCTTATATCCCCGTGATATCTCCATCAAAAAAAAACATGTTCATGTGGGTAACACAATGCCATAAACCATCCCCCAGTCATCACCATAAATAGGTGGGATTTCAACAATCCCCAAATTGGTGGTTTATTATTGTTTTACCCACATTATACGCTCCATATGATTTTGCCTTCTGATTTTTGCGAGAAAAGTCTTGGCCCAAGGGGGTCCACAAATTTGAGAAGACCGCCTGATTCAGAGTAGTAACCGGGTCATACTTGAATGGTCAGGAGAAACCAACTAGAAATGGTCAGGCCCTTTGATTCCCATATACACACACATATATATATATGTGTATATATATATATGTATGTGTGTGTATGTGTGTATGTATGTATGTATGTATGTATGTATGTATGTATGTATGTATGTATGTATGTATGTATGTATGTATGGTATGGTATGGTATGGTATGGTATGGTATGGTATGGTATGGTATGTAATGTAATGTAATGTAATGTAATGGTATGTATGTATCTATCTATCTATCTATCTATCTGTATGTATATATGTATGTATGTATGAATGAATGTATGTATGTATGTATGTATGTATGTATATATGTATGTATTTGTATATGTATGTATATGTATGTATATGTATCTATCTATCTATCTATGTATGTATGTATGTATGTATGTATGTCTGTCTGTATGTATGTATGTATGTATGTATGTATGTATGTATGTATGCATGTATGTATGTATGTGTGTATGTGTGTGTGTGTACTTATGTGTGTGTATGTATATGTGTGTGTGTGTATGTATGTAATGTAATGTAATGCAATGTAATGTAGTGCAATGTAATGCAATGTAATGCAATGCAATGCAATGTAATGTATGTATGTATAATAGCCCGGACAAAAATACAACAATAAAATGGTCATAAATCCTAGGACCTCCAAAGTAACGTAAATTTACATGATGTTGAGTTTCTGCCCTAAAACGCACGTTTACGCTCGTGAAGGAAAAAGTGCTCGTTTTTGAAAAATCTGCGCGTCACAGGTTTTACGAGCCGTGGTTTTGTACTTTTCTCTGTAAATGGTATCGGGGCGTTCAGACAAACACAAATAGACATGCGTGAGAAATCCTTTGGGGTTTAGAGGTAACGTTTTTGGGATTTGCGCCCGTTTGCACTTTTTTGCGCCGATTTGCGCCCGTTTTGCACATTTTTTGCGTGACCTTTTTGAGCGTGTGGGTCTTGCAAAAAATGTTCATCCCTGGAGAATTGCACACATTGAATGACAAGTAGCCACGGCTCAAATAAAAGTAGGCAGCAGGCTGAAGAGTTCTTTAAATGCGCTGTTGTAAGCAAAAGCGCTCGATTTGCAAAATTGTGCTCGGGGCATATTTTTACGTCACGGAAAGGTGATTTAGGTGACGACTTGTTGATTTCAGGCTTAGCAAGTGTCTCGTGGATCTCCGCTTGGCTGAGTGATGGCCCGTATCAATGTCAACATCACCCAACTCTCCACCCTACAGTTATGGCCCTTTACCAGTTAAAAGTGCTTGTAACCCAATTTATGGAATGTATAATCCCTTTTATAACCAGTTATAACTAATAAATGATCATAACTTTACATGTTGGTTTTAGTCAGTTTTTTGATTCAGCCAAGTTTTGGACTATCGCTTGCTTCAATCGTTTACACTATCAATATGATTTGCCTGCAAATGGGTTTGCATTGATTCTCCTATGCTCACCCATTGTCTTGGTTCAAAAGGCCAACTCATGTCTTGCCAAATCCGCAACCGTCTGCCATTTCTACCTTTTTCTTGTATTTCATTGAATGTTTCATTGCACTGTCAACCATCTGCCATCTGCCATGTTTGGCTGCCGGGCCGGTCTGCTCTAAGACCTGGCGATACATTTCACATGTGTCAAACATGTATGCACTGCACATTTGCAATGTATACATGTATATATATATGTATATATATATATGTATGTATGTATATATGTATGTATGATTACGTTTGCATATGTATACATATACATATATATATGTATATATATGATCATAGAATCATATATGTATACAAATATGTGTATGTGTAAATCTACATATATGTGTGTATATCTCTCGCTCTCTCTCCAGCACCATCAGCTAGAGAACTAATTATGTGTTTAAATTATGCAATTACTAAAAGCTACCAGAAATTGGAGCTCAAATCTCCTTCCTCCTCAACGCTATCTGTCTGTCTAAAACATACCGGAGATGGACACACACCCGCAAATGCTCAGGTGACTTGGAACCATTGGAACCCTGCAAATAATGTGCATAAACAATAGATTTGATGCCCTTTTCCAATGGTGTGCGCCCATCTCTAATTGGTTCCATTCAATTGGAGGTTTCCTAAGTCATATGCCCCTAAATCATCTAAAGGTAGACCTTTTTGGTATTGAAACAAGCATGGTTTCGGGGATCCCACATGACTTAAGAACCCCCCCAATTCATCTACAACCATTGTGGTTCCTGGGAAAATCCCCCATGGCCACAGGGCCGGGACCTTCTGCCAGGGCGTTAGCAACGGCTTTGTTCGTGGCGTGTGGAGAAACTTTTCGTGTTTCTCCTTGCGATGCCTGATGTCGGCTTAGACTCCCATGGGAGGTCATGGGGGAACCATAACTATAACATATATGTTTTTCAAGTAAAGGGAATTTCGATATGTCTTGGGATCTATATAATGAGGTTCAGTATAAATGGGTATGAATGGATGTAAGGATGTAATTACTGTGATAAAATGAGGAATTAAACTAAACAACAATAAGACTTAGTGGGAATATCAAGGGCTTGGTGTTTAGGAAGCCGTTGTTGGAGGCGGTTCTGCAAAATGTTCTTTAAACCAAGTCGAGGATCGAATCTACCCTGCCGTAACCAAACATGGCAATGGAACATTGCTCATTTATTATTTATTTATGGATATTTATGGATGCTCTGCTTTTCCTGCAAAAAACCTACATGAATTGAGGATTTCCATTGGCCAGGTTTGATTGCCAAAGGGTATACCGCGGTATACCTCCCCAAAATGCTGAATGGACCATCGATCCGTGCCATAGGCGTCTAGGTCATCGGTACATTGGTGCATTTTACCATGGTGCTTTGGGGGTTGGACCACCCCCGTCAGCCTTCCAATCCACGAAACAATGTAAAAAGAGAATAAGAAGAGACTGGAGACAGTTGAGAGGTAGAAGTTGGACTCATAGAAGTGACGCTCCAATCTGGAAGCAAATGAAGACCATGTGGTCATAACAGGCTTGTTTGACATGTCATCATGACATATCATGACCAACTGAGGTCAGGAAGAGATTCATAAATGGGACTTGAAGCCTGCATGCATCACTCTATCGTAGCCCCCAAACAAAATGAAAAAACATGAGCACCTGAAAAATGCAGGGGAAATATCGTCCATATCATCCTGGAAAACAATATTTTGGGATTTTTCTCGATCAAATTATGGGGGTGCTATGACATAGATTCTAATAGATTCTACACGGCGTTGGCGGCAACCTCGGGGATCATTGAAGTCAATACGGCTGTAGCTGCAACAAGCCAGGCACACCCAAAGTCCTGATTCCTCAGTCGCAGGATGCTGCCCCCAGCCCGGGAGTACAATGATGGGCCTGGCTGCCCAATTGCCATTAGGCTTACGGATGTTACAGGTTATAAATTTGCGTGTTTCTAGGATGCTCTGGAGCTAGCTAAGAATTGATTGTGATTATTTGGCGGCCGATTTGATTGTGGGTTATTCAAATCCGGCTCGTGCCAGAAGCAATGTACTCTGCTTCAAACAACCATAGAACTCAAACCTTACTCTTTTCCTCCTCTTCTTTTTGAACATGTCTCACATCCATCCCAGAATAATATTTGACAAGTCCAGTTGATAAAACATCAAAGGGTTGCTCCAAAATAGTGATCATCCCCATTTTTTCTAGTTAAGTCACCATTTTTCCTGCTTAGGTCCCCGTTTTTTCGGGTTAGCCATCTATGTTGGTTGGTGAAAAATCCCTGTTTATGCTGGCTAAATCCCCATCAAACTCAGCAACCCAAAAAGGTGATTTTCTCAGCACTTTCGGTCAGGTCGCGTGAGGATATCCTGAGCCGGGCAGCTTTCTGGCGCAGGGCCGTGTTCGTGGCCGAAATGTTTATTACTGTTCATGGAAAACCCCATCCAGTTCAGAAGATTTGAATTATGTTTTTCCTACGAGAGTCGTTTGCTTGTGATACGATGTGGTACGTGATTTTTTTCTGAAGCCCTCGCAAAGAACAAAATCAGAAGTTCATATTTATACTGTGACGAAATTTGATTGAAAAATGGGTTGCTTCTGGTGCGACTTTCCAGCTGGTAACAGTGAGCCGGCTGGATGGTTCCAACCGTACCAGCAAAAATGGAAAAAAAATCTGGGTTCCTGCCAAGCGATAAATTTTGACCCGTAGCGAAACCGAAAATGGAGGAGCCAGGTTCCACAACGAAATATCTGGATTCCATTCAACTCTTCTGGTCCAGGATTTTGGATTCTGAGTTGCAAGAATAGTCAATTGTTTGGGAAGGGGGTCCTGTAGTTCGATGGATTTCTTCAAGGAAACATTATAATCGGAAACCATGCATTTTTTTCCCAGCATATACTTTCATAGGTTTCCAGTTTCAACCCTTTTTCGCCCAATTCAATGATTTTGTTTTTTTTTCTATTTTGGTTCAGGTACAGTACAGCGGGAACATTGAAATATTCTTTGAATTGGGAAAACTCCCAAAATGAATCATAATAATTGCTAGTTCCTACATTCATAGGTACATTCAATATCTACTTAATTTTGGTCCAGGTATATTCCAAATTTTGGTTGGATGTAAGGAATTGACCAGCATAAATGACGAAGGGTACCTGTCATCATTTATGATGGTCAATTCCATACATCCGACGAACTGGGCCACCCCACATAGCCGCGTTCCATCTCAGTGGTGAAGCGTTCGTGGGCGATCTGCGGGAGATTCATGGTGGGAGAAACTCCACGGCTAGGTCAGTTTACAGGAGAGTGTATATATATATATATACATATTATATATACATAAGTTTTTAATCCGACAAATTTTTCCATTGCCACCCTATCTTATGCATCACCTCTATATACAGTGTACATATATAAGTATATATATATACACATACATCATGTTGATGCCGGTTCTGTGCGTGATTTGGGATCATCTCCGTTTTAGTCAGCCATACCTGCACTTGACAATGGCAACATTCTGACATTCCATCTGGCATTCTTTCTGACATGCATTCTGACAGTCCATCTGGTTCTTTCTGACCTACATTCTGATTCTAGCATTCTTTCTGACATGCATTCTGACAGTCCATCTGGCATTATTTCTGACCTATATTCTGGTTCTAGCATTCTTTCTGACATGCATTCCTGACATTCCATCTGGCATTCTTTCTGACATATATTCTGACATTCCGTATGGCATTCTTTCTGACATGCATTCTGACAGTCCATCTGGCATTCTTTCTGACCTATATTCTGATTCTAGCATTCTTTCTGACATGCATTCTGACAGTCCATCTGGCATTCTTTCTGGCATGCATTCTGACATTCCACTTGGCATTCTTTCTAACATATATTCTGGTTCTAGCATTCTTTCTGACATGCATTCTGACATTCCATCTGGCATTCTCTCTGACATGCATTCTGACAATCCATCTGGCATTATTTCTGACCTATATATTCTGATTCTAGCATTCTTTCTGACACGCATTCTGACATTCCATCTGGCATTATTTCTGACATGCATTTTGACATTCCACTTGGCATTCTTTCTGACATATATTCTGGTTCTAGCATTCTTTCTGACATATATTCTGACATACATTTAGGAAGAACTTGGTCAGCCACAGGCTGAGATTTTTGTCTGCCATTTTTGTGTTATTTTGGCCTTGTCATTTTTTTGTCATTCTTAAATTCTATCTGTCATTGTTCTGTCATTTTTCTGCCAGTTGTTCCACCGTGTTTCTGTCATTTTCCTTGTTCCCCACCTGCCAGGTGAGGGTTGTTAGATTTTATGTCAGTTGCCTCCTCCTCCTTCTCCTCCTCCTCCTCCTTCTCCTCCTCCTCCGCCTCCTCTCCTCCTCCTCCTCGTCCTCCTCGTCGTCCTCGTCGTCCTCGTCGTCCTCGTCGTCCTTGCTCAACTGCGACCCGCGATCCACAGTGTTCTCTGCCGGACCTCAACCACGCCACCCACGCCCAGTGTTCCCTGCCGGACCTCAACCACGACCATCCACGCCCAGTGTTCCCTGCCGGACCTCAACCGCGAGTATCCACGCCAAGTGTTCCCTGCCGGACCTCATGTAGGAAGATATGGGACAAAGAATGTGCAGAAGAAAGTTAGAAAGAATGTCAGAAAGAATGTTAAGAAGATATGCCAGAAGAAGATAGAATGCCAGATAGAATGCCAGAAGATATGTCAGAATATATGCCAGAAGATATGCCAGATAGAAGATGCCAGATATGCCAGATAGAATGCCAGATAGAATGCCAGAAGATTTGCCAGATAGAATGCCAGAAAATATGCCAGAAGATATGCCAGATAGATATGCCAGAAGATATGCCAGAGATATGCCAGAAGATATGTCAGAATATATGCCAGAAGATATGTCAGATAGAATGCCAGAAGATATGTCAGAATATATGCCAGAAGATATGCCAGATAGAATGCCAGAGAATGCCAGAAGATATGTCAGATAGAATGCCAGAAGATATGCCAGATAGAATGCCAGAAGATTTGCCAGATAGAATGCCAGAAGATATGCCAGAAGATATGCCAGATCATATGCCAGAAGATATGCCAGATAGAATGTCAAATAGAATGTCAGAAGATATGTCAGGTAGAATGCCAGAAGATTTGCCAGTAAGAAAATGTATAAATGTCATGGTGGGGATCACACGAAGTAAAGTATTTTTTTTTTGAAATCTTTAATTTCTAGCATGAGATCAACAAATTCATTGAAACATTGCAGAATTCCACTGAAAAGAAAGACAACAAATCAAAAATTGAAAAGAATCAAAGAACGCAAATTAAAAAATGAAGAATATCAATGAAAAGTGAAGAAAACCAATGGAAAATTGGAGAAAACCACAGAAAACAATTGAAACATAACAAAAACATAGTAAAATCATCAAAACATGAAGGACATCAATGAAAAATGACAAAACAAATGACAGAATACCATGAAACACCAGGAAAATGACATTTGTTAAAAACACATTGGGTTTTTGCTATTTTCCTGCAATTGTTCTGTCATTTTTCTGTCATTTTCTTATCATGTTCATTGTTTTTTCTAAATGTTCTTTGGTTTTCTAGCATGGCACCAACAATTCAATTGAAAAAATGCAGAAGCCCAATGAAAGAATCAAGAAAAAATCAAAAATTGAAGAGAATCAAAGAAAACAAATTAAAAAAGTGAAGAAAACCAAAGAAAACAAATAGAAAATCGAAGAAAACAATTTGAAACGTAACAAAAACATAGTAAAATCATCAAAACATGAAGGCAATCAATGAAAAATTACAAAAATTGAGAAAAAATGACAAAACCAATATAGAATATCATGAAACCTCAGGAAAATGAAATTTGAAAAAAACAACAACATTGGGTGTTTGCTATTTTTATGTCATTTTTCCGTCATTTTTCTGTCATTGTCTTATCATGTTCATCGAGTTGTCTAAAATTAATATCTTTGATTTTCTAGCATGGCATCAACAAATCCATTGACAATTTTGTGGAAGCCCAATGAAAAATCAAGAAAACAATTGAACAATTCAAGAAAATGAAAGAAAACCATTGAACAAGCTAAGGAAACCAATGAAAAGTGAAGAAAACCAATGGAAAATTGGAGAAAATCACAGAAAACAATTGAAACTTAACAAAAACATTGTAAAATCATCAAAACATGAAGGGAACCAATGAAAAATTACAAAAATGACAAAAACAAATACAAACAAATGACAGGGACAAATGACAGGACCAAAAAACGACAGAATCCAATGACAAAAAAACAACAATCCAAACGACAAAATGAATATGTTCATATACTCCAGTGATCTCCAGTGTGTGGCCGCAAGTGCCTTCTAAACATACATTCTGACATTCCGTATGGCATTCTTTCTGACATGTGTTCGGGTGCGTGCCCAGCATCCGGAGCTTGGCCCATGCCCAGAGTCAGCTGGATCTCTCAAGGAGATTCTACAGATCCGCCCGCCGCGCCATGACCTGCAAAGGCTTCATTCGCTTCACACGATCCTCCTGCTTCACGTCAGCATGGCGCACATCCTCCTCAGCAGAAACGGGCAGACCTACACATTGGGGTGAACATTAAACATATGTATATAATATATATATATTTGCAAAGAAAACATGGCAAACATACCATAATATATGTGTGCATGTGTGATATATATATATATAGTAGTAGTTTTTATAATAGATAATATAATTAATATAGTATAATATAGTGATATCTATAGACTGATTAGCATATGTGTATCCCTGTCTCATTAGACCTCATCTAATCTATTCCAATCCATCCGATTAATTCTCTAATCTAACCATATCTAACCATATCTAACCTATATTATACCTATATTATACAGTCTAATCTACGTGTGCAGCCTATGCATGTGTTCTAACTCTCTGAAAACGAAAGTCCCACTGAAATCGCCGAAACCGCACTGCGGTTTAATCACATCCAGGATGTGCCTCGAATCTGACGCGGGTCTTGTAGCGCACCTGATGCGCTACAGCGTCAATTTGGAAAAATTCGAACTGGAAACCATGGCTGATCATGGCTGTTACATGTTACCAACGAAAAGCAGGAGGATGCCTACAAAACCTCAACCACCGTACCTTTTTCATTCAACAGAATCGAACAAAATCCAAAGGAGGCGCCCCAGAAATGGTTGGCACCTCATAATGATGTTCCCTGAAACAACCATGTAACATCATTGTTAACATCTTATAACTATCAAGATTTCCTATTATAACATATTTTACATGTCCCTTCCCAAGCTATTCAATGGGACCAAGTTATTGCATTGGCTCCGGTCTCGGTGCCTTGCGTCCCCCTTCAGACTGCTTGATGTAATCCATGAGTTCTGGATCCTTCACCTCCAGGATGCAGGTCTGTAATCACGCCTGAACTACCACTGAATTGGGACTTCGATTTACCTATACGGCAATAATATGGATTGGTATAAATGTATATAAAATTATATATAAATGTAACATGCATTAACATGCTGTCTAATCAGTATAATCATGATTTAGACACTTTCCGGAAGTTGTAAGATGTTGTATAGCTGCTAGTGGTGCATCGTTGCATCCCTTGGTCAATCGATTTGGCATTGAATCAACATGCTGGAGATCGCATCTACCAATCAAACACAGCACTGGAAAGAACACATACCCTCTAGTGATATTCATGTAGCTATTGAAAACGGCCATAGAAATAGGTAGTATACCTGGTAAACATCGTTTTTTTCCATAGGTATGTTAGTTTACCAGACGGTACACACATGATTAGACCGGAAAACTGACAATTCTTCACTGCCGATGACTTTCTTCCCTGAGACATATTCAACCCCAAGATAATGCATTGAAATTGCACTTTGGGTGTTGCCCCACCAAATCAAACAATACAATATACCCCAGAGTGTGTATCCAGTTGGTGGTTTTCAAAGCGCCCGAAAAGAATCAAACATCGAAACTACCAGTTCTGATATTGGTTGCGGCTTTTATTGCCGGAAGACAAACAATATCCTCAAATTGCAACCGGTCTGGGTAAGTTATCAAAAACCACCTATCTTACAAGGGCTTATGTTGGACTGGTTACCGTACCCTTATTGACTTATTGGCCTTAATGTATGGTGAGGGCTTAGTGACAACAACGGAATACAGCAATATCGTCATAATATCCTCATCGCTCACTCCAGATCCCAGAAATGGAACCCCAAGACTGATCCCCAACGAATTACCATGGAAAAATGTGGATAAAACCATGGTTTCAACCACCGTCTTTTGGTTGGTGGTATAAACTTACCCATTCCCAGTCATGGCTGGTTTACGACATTACCCACTGAATTACCATATTTTATGGTTTGCCCAAGCTGCCAGATTTATTTTATGGCTGAACCCCCCACCAATTTGCGACCCTAAAAGCCAGAGTTTCCGCTGTCAATGTGTCCATCCCGCCGACCTGGTGACTCAGCATGTCCTAAGTCCACGGACACGTGTGGAAGGAAGTTTGGGCGGTCTTGCAGTGGAATCTTGGAAGAAAACACTAGAAAACAGTGGCAGGGGCTTACAGAACATCTCAGAACATCATTGGATCCAGACTTACATTCCACATACAGTACAAGTTCTTTTTGAATGTTCTCCAGAAAAATCAGAAAACAGGTGTTTATATCAACAATGTGTTATTAAAAACATGTTGAAATTCACATGCATCGCTCCCTGAGGCACCCCACATAGCAATTGGTGATGTTGCCACGGTAGGACAAGGGCTGCGCCTAGTGGGATCTGCATCCCTTCAATGGGCTTGGCTCTGACCCAAACCGAAGGATCTGGGATACCTGATTCAATGGGGGCACCCCAAATCATCCACTCGTCACCCATGGATGATCATTTGAGTCTTGAAACAACCAGGGTGACTTGTGGACCCCCCATGACTTGAGAAACCTCCACCGAAAAGACCCCACTGGGCCTCCTCGTTTCGAAGCTTCACTTCAGTGGTGAGGGCATCTTGACCTGGACAATGACTGTCTTGGAGAACTCCAAATGTTCAATCCATGGTGGATAGCCATGGAACATAAATATTTCCCCGTGAAAAACCAAGGAGTTCATCCATGTTTCCGTTTCAATCCATGGATTCCATAAGATTCATATGATTCCATGGCAATCTTTTGATGTATCCATTTAAATTTCCGAAATGTCATCCTGGATCATGGGATATGAACTAATACACCATTTCCGTATCTGCGGCTGTTTTTCTATATATCCATGTCCATTTCCATGGACCATGGGATTTTAAAAAGAAAACATGTCCGAAATTTCCATGGGATAAATCTATATTATATATTTCAAGCCATCTTTTATGATATTGATAAATATACATCATTTCCATATGTTTAATTTCCATCAATGTCAATCAATTTCAACATAATTGGGTATCCATACATAATTTGATTGAACATATGGATTGATAGCAGTGGTTGGAACATATGGTTATTCCAACATTTCAATATGGATTTGCATCATATATAAACCATGGATTCCATCCATATTTTCCAACCCAATATTTTCCAACCGGTCCCCCCGGTAAGGCATCCGCAAGCTCTCATTCGTTCTTCGAGCCGCGCATCACCTCGCAGGTGTCCATGGGGATTTTCATGGGCAAACCATGGGATATTAATGATATTTTATAGGAGTATAAGGGGTGATGTTAAATTTGAATGATCTTTTTTCTAGGAGTGTAGGGTTTCTAACTATTGATATTATATATGATATATGAATATATATATATGATATATGATTGATTTCTAGTGAATTATGGTGATTTCTGGTGGTTAAGCATGAGCAATAGGGCTGCTTAACATGATTTCAATGGGTTTTATGCCAAACATGGGGATTCTATTGGGAAGCAACCCTCAAAATGCTAGATTTCATTGAGTGATTTAGTTGATGGTTGAAGCTATGGTTCCTGTAAAACTAAGACCATGCAGAACAATTTATTGAACCTACCCTCTGGTAATTTAACATAGCTATTGAAAATGACCATTTATAGTGGATTTTCCCATTGAAAATGGTGATTTTCCATAGTTATGTTAGTTTACCAGAAGGTAAACCTCCAAGTATCCCTCAAAAAATAGGGTACAACCAGCGCCGGGATTTCCAACAATTTCTCTCATTGTCGCCCCCACATTCTCTTGTTGAAAAATCCACCCCGAAGACACGTGTTTTAAGCATGGGCATTCGTCAAAAACAGGTCACCAAAAAGCACTCAACTATAAAATTCTTCATTGATCTATTAATATTCATTAATATTTAGCTGTGATATCCTATAGACAAAGTTTGATCAATAGAAGGCCAGAAACATATCCAGAAACTAAACTCATGCTATAACACAATTCGAAAGTAACATGTTTGCGCAACTTTGAACAACATTCCCTCAATGGAGTCCCTTGACATGGGCAATGCAGCTTGGACTGGCACAGAACTTTTGCGACAGCGGATTGAAGGGTTGCTGGCGCATCTTTTCCGCCTCAGAGACGATCAAACGTGGCATGACGGTGCCCGACTTTCTGGTGGCCGGCCGTTGCAGCACGTGAGCTGCATTGATCGGTGAAAAATCACATTTTTGAAAATCCTACTGATCTACCCAGTAGGCGATCTAGGACCTTAGGACCTAGAAATCTGTAGATTGGACATTCCATCTACGCCAAAGCTGATCAGCATCACAGGATCAAGTATTGGGCTGCATACATATATCAAACATAATAGGGTAAACCCACTATATAATGAACCATCCCCACAATCACCAGGAATGGAAACTGTAAACCATCCCCAAATGGCAATTGTTTATGGCACTGGGTTTCTAGGTTTATTATTGGTTTCCCACATTACTATACACACAACTACACACATATGTATTCAGTAGTAAGAGCAGCAGGGGCTTGATCAATGCAACCACTGAGGCCATGATACTTTACCAGTGATAGATCAGAGGTGGTTGGTGGCGTCGTCCTATCTCTAAATATTGTTCGTTCACTTTGAACATCGTCCCAAATTGCAGGGAGGAAAAGAACGATTTCGATGTCTGAAAATGGGGAGCCCCAAAATCAACTGCTTAATTCAAGCGTAAACCTTATCGAATCATCCCCTTTAAAGTTACAATTTGGTGATATACCCCATGTTCAATCGCACCCATCCCACATTCCATTCGAAACCCCGTAAGTCTCTGTCTGCACTTGAAACCAGCAGTGGGAGCATATATCTTACCCACAAAAATCTAAAGTCTAACTCTAAGATCTACCATTCAATATCACCAATCTCCCCATATCTCTGTATTGTGAACCCCCCATGTTTGGATGGAAAAACACCTTTTTTTCCCACCAAACCGGGTCCAAACCTGGTCCAACCCCCGGCTTAGACGGTTGACGGCTTCCAAAAGGTTCAGCTCGCGATCCCGCTCGACCTTCTCCTGGTGGATCTTTAGGAGACGGTTTTCAAATATCAGTTGTCCAACACAATAATAATCAGTTGGTTATTCAAAAATCATGTTGGTTATCAGCTGTCTAATACACAGTCTAATACACATCAAGACGATTTATTTTGGAAGAAACATTGTCAAATTTCAGTTCCAATACCTTGAGACGATCATCGGCAAACGCTTATGGCTGCCAGCATGAAAAGAAGGCGTGGCGCCCTCGGAAAAAATGTGAAATGGCACTGGTGTTCTGGCATCCTGATGGACGACCATGCTGGCGTCGGATGGAAAATCAGCTCAGTTCCAATACTGAGAAACCGGTTGTTGTTTGGTGGCAATTCAAAGACACATGGTTTCCTGGTATTTGCTTCAGTTGGATGCAATTGGCAACTTACAAGACTAACACTCAAAAGCTTCCAGCCATCTTTCCGAACGGAGGCCATCAACAAGGGCGGCAAGGTCAGGATAGCCATTTGCACCCTGTTGCCAGATTCAAGCAAGGTGAAGCCAATTCAAACAAACTTTGGTACGTTACTAGCACTCACAAAAACGGCACTTGAAAGCGACCAACATATTCGTCCTGCCCATATCATATAACTTTTTAAACTTGTAACTGCTGCTAGGTATTTCCAAAGAGTGTTGGGTAGCAGAATTTCTGCCTCATCACGGCACGTTGCCTCGTGGTGTTCGAGGTAGCGGTTGGTCAAAATGTTAAAATCCTCACAGGGCTGGAGTCAAATCCATCTTAAACTTGGTGGATGGTATAGTTTTCTATACAATTATGACCCAGTTGTCGGTCCATATCCCGTTGTTTTTGCCCTGAAAAACATAATGTTTTAAGCCTTGCATATCATTGTAGCCATTCTGGAAGAGATTGCATATAGGAGTTTGCCATATGGTTCCCATATTTCGGGGGTTGTTGTTTGGAAATGTTCATTGTATCTACTGTCCCATGTTTTGCCTGTTTGTTTTTGTGTGAAATGTCCATAATCAAATTCTCCTGGATGGTGGTTGAGCCCTACCCCTCTGAAAAATATGAGTTCGTCAGTTGGGATGATGAAATTCCCAATATGGAAAGTCATAAAATTCATGTTCCAAACCACCAACCAGAAATTCTCTGTCTACTCCAGGATGATTAGTTCGTTTCCACCGTCCATTTCTCCCCGGCCTTATGGAGCAAGGCTGGGACCATCCGCGCTTTGGGCACCCGATCTTTAGGGATGGGCCTGGAAGAGTCCCAGATCCGGGATGCCTATGGTCCCAGGATGTCCCATCAGTCATGTTCCTCCAGATCCCATCCACATGTTTCGAAGATTTTACATGGACTGGAGTTGGATGATGTCAGATATTCCATGACTTTTCCATATTTTATTAGGGGGCTCCGGCCATCAACAGCGGTCAAAAAAAGAAAAAACAGCGCCCGACCGTTTCTGTGGATGGGCCCAGTGGTGCGCGTCGAAGCGCAGGTTGGAGATGATGTTGTAATCCACCGCGGTGTCCTCGGTGAAAAGAAGGCCACCTACCAAGATGGGAAACCAACAAAATCACGGTAGTTATGGGAGGGTGTGCTAGGGGGGTTACTGCAAGATGGCATGGATACCATCACAAATAGGCAGGAATCTAATTAAACTTAAATAAAGCTAAATAAACTTAAATAAAACTAAATAAAGCTAAATAAGGTTAAATAAAGCTAAATAAACTTAAATAAACTTAAATAAACTTAAACAAAGTTAGTCAGTTTCGTCACATGAAACCCTGATTTGCCCACACCCCCCCAGCAGACACCCCCATGATCTGCGTGACAAAGAGGTAGCCATGGTTCCCAGGGGTTCTAGCCTACCAACCTTCCAGCTACCTCTTTGAAAGGGCAGCCAAAGTGATGAACCAGAAATGATTTTGGGGTTGGTTACTTCCAGACAGCTGGAAGATGAGGGTAACCAAACTGTTGGGGATATGGATGGTGAAATATGGTGAATACATCTACAATTGAGATTAAATTAGGCCTTGGGGGTTGGCCCCCCAACTTGCACAAATTGACATGGTCAATCAATCATAGTCCACCAGAAATTCACCTTTTGCTGGTTATGGTCATGTTCCTTCTATAGCAAACAACTACAGTAATTAAAGGACTAAACTACCAATCCAAGGTTGGGGATGTTGAAAGGGAGATGGGTAACATCTTCTGGCAGCCCATTGGCCCATATCGGCCCGACCGGGGACGACCCCCGCTTCGTGATACAGATCCCACCGAAGTATTCATAACTCCAACATCTCCAAAAACACAATATATAATCATAATAATCATATATAACTTAACTCTATTTTCACTGCTAGTCTTATTATCGTTACTTAAACTGTTTCTTCGTGATAACAGCAGTAATAATACAGCAATAATAACAAAAATAATCATCGTCATCATCATCATCATCATCATCAACCTCCATCAACCTCCATCAACCTCCATCAACCTCCATCAAGCCCCTAAACATCCTTATAAACTCACTTGGCATATTTGAAAATCACTTGGGGCGCTGTTCCCCCAGGTCTCGGTCCTCCCATGGTCTCCCCGGTCTCCCCAGTTCCGAGCGTCCGGAACGGGACATTTCAATTCCTTGGGCTTCGCTGGGTCCAGCGCTTCAGGGACCAAAGCCTCAAACTTCCTGCGCCAGGTGCCATGGGGAAAGGCTGGATTGAAAGTGTGGTTTGAATAAGACTTTTTGGTGATTTTAGGATGATTGTATGGTGATTTTATGCAGTTTTTATGGGGATTTGATGAGATGTTGTGCGATTATCTCTGGATTTATAGATGCAAAGGGATAATCATACATCCATATCCACATACGTGGTTGCTACCAATCCTGCAGCCGTTGTAGTCCAGGTTGGAAGTCTCTTGTTTATAATCTCCACGCTGTGGCTGGGCCCTGCCCCATTTTTGATGGCCCAATGATAACCAAAGTCTTTGATTTTTGGGTGAACATGCTGATTATCCCAAAATCATGGGAATATCATGGGCATATCAGAATCATCTTTGGGCACGGCAGTCTACCCCACCCATCCCCACCACCCAAAATCATCAGCCTTTCATGTGTGATGAGGTCGTAGGGAGCCTCTTTTCCTTGGTGACTCTGGGGGACTCTTTTGACATGTGAAAGGATGTTTTACGATTTTTCTTGGAGACATAGTTCCAAGATTTCCAAGTGATTTGCAACCTGTTTTGTTTCGATCCATTTGTTGCTTCATGCTGCTTCTATCCCCATCTTGTGCTCATGTGACTGACTGATTTGACGTCATTGTTTTGCTCATCAGCTTCAAGCCGCTGGGCTCAAGGTTGAATAGATGGTGTTTTGCAACATGGTTTTCCGGAGAATTCACCATGGAGATCCATTGATAGATGATCCTCCCATTAAGACATGCTTGATTCCGAGAGTTCCACATATTTTTCCCATCGGTCCATACGCCAAATTCACTAGCACCCATCATTTTCTCCATAAAATCAGAAGACTGATCCCATCGTCAAGTTGGTTCCCCGGATCCGTGCTTGGCACCGTCTGCTAGTCCAAAGCAGCGGAAAACCTTCAATATTACTTTCAACGAGGATAGTCTTCGAACAAGGATGTCCAAAAAAATCGATTCACTTGCCAGGTTGTGGCACCCATTTTGGTCTGCAAACGTCTGATGGAACCCCATGTGACTTCAATCTGCCGATCAGACAGAGATTCGTAGCTGAATGTCTCTGGCCATGTTCAGGTAATTCTTCTTCACCTGCTCATCAACGTATTTATATAAGATGGGATTGCCCAAAAAAACATATGTATTGCATATCCTAGGTAGCCCCAACGTGTAACCGGACATGCAAATGCAATACACAATTGGAGCCAAAATTAAATTATGTAAAGTAAAAAAATACAATCATTTGATACTAAGGAGTTGGGCCTATGCGTCGGACTAGGCGTCTTCTCAAGATTCCCTTGTCGACCTCCACCTCAGCTCTCAACTTAGCAAACGTCGCTTAGGTCACACCTTTTGGACTCTCAAAGGCTTCTCTCTCTCCATACTGTAGCCCTCTTCATGGGTTGGTTCACGTACTTTTTGCAGGAAACCCTGGTTTTTTTTTTCACACTCCATCAATTGTAAGGGCTTTTCTGTAGGTCTTTCCTTCAAAATCCAGGAGATGTCCCTCCAGATTTTCGAGAAACCGATGGCCCGCCTTCTCCTCGAAGTCCTGCTGCTCTCGTTCTCGGTGTTGGTCCAAGAATCGGCCCAGCAACCTGATGGGAATTCAATGGAATTCAACATGGCAACCGAAAATGCACCATCTATCGTTGATTTCCCATGAAAAACCTCCATTTCAAGGGGGTACAAGGTACGGTAGTGCCCCATGGCCCATAGTTCGCTAATTGGTTTATAAGATTGTAGGTTAACTATACAGGACTGACAGATATATCTAGAGCTCATGGGGACCATAAACCAGCTTAAAACTGAAGGGGCACCACCTTGTAGGAAGTTTCCTTTCCGAATGGTCCATCAAACGCTTTCCCCCCACAAAACTCCGACTATGCTTCCTTTTGGGATTCGCTCGCCCGAACCTGAATAAGATTGAATAAGGTGGTCTTATATAACCTTTCACCACTTACGAGTACCAAAAAAGCCATCTATAGCCTCCAAATGGCCATCCAATTCATGAGGAAGATTGCAATCAACCTTGGATTGATTCCTTTCCACTCTGATGTTCCGGTCCAAATAGTTGCCTTTAACAATAGCTTTATACCAACACACCCATCTATCCAAACCATATAATATTTATAATATATATATATATAATATATTGTATAATCCCCCTCTAGATTAGTGCCGGACCCCGGGGTCCGCTCATTTTATCAGAGGGACGTGTTTTTTGGCTATAAAAATGACAAACCAGGTGAAAAACACTTATAAAAATGGCATTCAACGATGCAAACAATATATGGCAGCATCAATTGGCATAAAATTAAATATTAAAATGACAATTCCAGGTCAGAAATAAAGCAAACAAATCTTATAGCGTCTTACCTTTCCAAATGTGCGAAAGGACAATGGGCGTCGCATCATTTTATAAGGCGGGGGTTAGATAGGTGGAAAATTGTCCCAACTGTGGTGTCACCAGAGAAAATATTCATTTAATAAGGAAACTCTGGGCATTAAAAGAACAACAACTGTCCAAACCCAATTTCTGCGGGTATGTGTTTCTCAGTTTTTGCTGGTAAAAACGGTAATTGTCAAAAGAAATTGTTTATATTGCAAAGTAAGTAAAAATATAGTATAACGCAAATATATATATATTTATATATATATATATATTTATATATATCTCTCTCTCTCTCTCCCTATCATTTTTTTATATGTTGAATCCTGCACCGACCTTTGTGTTGGGCAAGTTCCCATGTTAGTCATTTTATAGCCCCTAAAAAATATTCTGGTTTATAAAATGACGGGTTGATTGGTGGTAGGTAATTTTGTGTCTTGCCATTTTGTAATTTGCGGACCCCGGTGTGGGCCCTTTCATAAGGGATATCTAGAGGGGGATATTATAATATATATATATATATGATACGCATTGGCGCTTGATATGACATGACAGTCGCATATCCCTAGGCCGAATTGCTTGACTTCACACGGTCAGAGCAGGTCAGCCGAGGCGACGGATTGTAGCTGCGCTCCCTCTTGCTGTTCTCTCCACGCACATAGCCTGAGAAAAGCTGGGGACCAGCGAAAATGATGCGCTTAGAACAACTTAACACCCAAACAAAGGAGAAGATATGAGAAGATAGCAATCTCGATGGCTCGATGGCTCAACTATGGTTAACCGTCCCAATGGTCATGGATTTTCGTGGGATTTTCCGTTATAAACTTATATAAACATATATAAACCATCCATTTTGCCCTTGACTATGGAACCCCCCTTTGCCCCTTTACCCCAAACCTTCAGCACCGCCCCGTCCCACCGCTTCCTGCAGCTTCGAGACCCACCGTGCGACCTTTGAACAGGTCCGGGTGCACCTTCACCCTTCTGTCATGCCTCGGCTGCCGGCGTAGCCGCTCTTGGGGTTCACAACATCAAGTGAATTAAGTAAAAACATTGAGAAACCAACAAGTTGTGTGAAGGATTGCATTGATAAGCAACTTCTGGGCATTGACATTCGATAAACATTGATAAAGCAAGATTAATTGAAGCTGAGGAACTCAGAGGGTTCCTGGTGAATTTACCGTGACACATGTCTATTGCCATATCATACGACAAATACGGCGCCTGAGCGCTCTGTCAACCGGGGCGGTCATGGGTCCGGTCTTGAAGAGGTGAGTCATGGCAAAATGCTTACAAGTATATTCCAAGTACTCACATGGAAAAAACTATAGTGCACATATATACACATATATACATGTATATATACATATTATATATATAATATAAAATAATTAATATATAATGCATGTATATGTAAATGAAAAAATATTTGTTATAACATAACATAACACGTTCAGAAACATTAAGACACACAAAAAACATACAGTATCATGAATATTCATAAATCAACAACTCCACTGCACTGCAAGGAGCTGATAGTCCTGAACCTCTTCTGCCCAACTGGCCGCCATCGCGTTTTACCTCGCTAAAGTCATCATCAAGGTGCTGCCTCCCAGTTATAAGTTGGTTATAACCCCAGCTGTAGAATCTGTAGAATTATAAGTTAACCCCACAATGCTGCTAATTGGATTATAACCAATGATTATAGTTGGTTACAAGTTGGTTATAAGTTATAACATGTTATAACCCCAGAATATCATTACATATCTCACCATGAAGGTCATGTAGCGAGCTATGGGGCACCACCTTTTCCCGTTTTGTCCAAGTCCCTAAACGACGGCGGCACGCTGGCGGGCAGCGCTAAATGGCGACGGAAACAGAGTAGAACTCATTGATCTATGATCATATATGATCATGTATGCTGGGTTGTTGCCTGCATATACAATTATATAAAATATTATAAAATCATATGCAAATCCTTAGCGTAAACAGTCATCTCTTTCCGCAACAAACAACAACCTGTTATACTTTATAACTTAATAAATAAATATAACTTATATACCTTAATGATCCTTAATGCCACATAATGCCACCCTCTTTGCCAAATTCGCAGTATTTCGCAGTCATCCGCCATGTCCACACAGGAAAGCCCGATCGTCCCATCGTCTGCTTTTCATCAGGGCGGCACCTAAGGTACGTCGCGACGACCCGACGAATCGACACTAAAACCAGCCGAACTGACCTTGGGATACCCTGGGCACAGGCACTGATTGGCGACGTTCAAAGCTACGGTGGGTGGAATCCATGGAATTGATAGGGGACCATCATGGGACCCCCATTCCCACAATCTTCCCATACGATTTGTCTTTTTTTTTGGGAGTAGTATGAGAGCAGTATGCGAATGGGAGCCCCATCATTCGGGGTTCCTATCATTTCCATGGAAAGGTGGCTAAAGATGTTAAAGTGAGGTGAGTTACCGTAACTACTGACGATAGATTTCATAGGTGGGACTCTTCACCCACGGATTTTTTTCCGGTGGTCAAATTCATGACCTTCAATACCTCGAAGAAGAATTGCAGCGGATATCACACAGTCCTTCCTTCATGGTTTCAAAATGTTTTTAGCCATCAAACACCATAAACCCTTACACTTAAAGATCCGAAAGCCATTGAACTACTCAACTTCTCAGAACTATGTAATGCTGCCAGCCTAATAGTGCACCACCCCCAAAATATCCCAAAATCAAAATAGATTGACATAGATTGTATAATCCATTTTGAAATGGTAGATTTCTTGTTGGGTTTACGAAATATTCCCAAGGCTCTCCCAAGGGCATCAGCGGTGTCGGTGAAACAACGGCAGGGCCGAGATCGGCCGCGCGGCGCGGCGCGGTTCCGTGAACCGCCAACGATATCCCCCGTTTCACCACGATGGTTCCCTGCTGGACTTTTCAAGCCATGTGCCTCAGTCTTGTTTTTGCACTTTCAAGAATTTCAGGAATTTCACATCATACTCCCATCAAATCATGGTCCACTCAAATCTTTGGATGGATTTTTGTTGCTTCAACCCGCAGTTGTCATTGGTTCAATCTGTTTCTTCAGCCAGCCGGCAGCTCACACATCATGTCCTTTCGGCCTGATCTGAGGGCATCCAACGGCAATCTGCCATGGGTTTCAAGGTTAAATCAAATCGCAGGAACCCCAAAAGAAATTATATAGCTATAAATAGTTACTATATTTTTTAGATATGTTGCGGTATATTAAACACATTTAAACACTACCAAGACATAGCGGGGAAAAAATATGTGGGTCGCGGCCAAAATTTCTATGCCTAAATGCTGTCTGATTTCCAGCCCCTACCTGAAGGTACAAGATCAGTTGTGGTCAGGGGCGAAAAGGCAAGAGATTTTTCAGGATGCTTCGGGAAAAAGTAGGAAACATTCACTGGAAAAAGTACTCACCCAAATTCACAATCACCAGCCTTTTTTGTTTTTATTGGAACAAACGGTGGGAACCCCCAAGGATGTCCACCCGATGAGCCCCTGGCAGCCCAAGTCATCACTGCCAGAGACATCACAAACCATCAACAATCAACTGACTCACTATCCAATCAGATGGATTCAAATGCGAGAATCCAAGCATTTAGCGCTCTTTGGATCTCTTTGGTGGTTTTGACATGACTGATGGATTAGGATCCAGGCAGCACATGGTGTCTACAGGAGTGGTGCCGACAAAAGGTAACTCCCACCAAACAATCCGAAGGATCATGAATCATGAATCATGAAATCTTTTCAACGCAAAACTAGAAACTCAAAAACCCTGCAACTATAGGCAACTAAAGCTTAAAAACCATGATTCAATTTCAACATATTTCAACCTTTCTCCTCTATGTGAAAGAATCTTAACAGTAGAAATCCATATCCAGAAATCATCTCACGTTGCTGGAGATCCATATCCTGTTTCCCAACCTGAGTGAAGGTTGCCAACTGGGCCCCGTGTTCGCGCTTGAGGACTCCTGGGCTTCACCCAGAAAAATATGAGTTCGTCAGGTTGGATCATCATCCCCAATCTGGTTGGGGAGAATGAAAAACATGTTCCAAACCACCAACCAGTTATGTGTGATAATATTATGATATACCTAGCATTTGGGGATGGTTGGAATCCAACCCATTTATGGTAGTATTGGGGATGAACCAAACATCTTCCAAACGACCAAGCAGATATAACCAGCTCAACCAGTGACATAAAACAACGTCCTCTTTGACGAAGTCGGGCCATCCTGGTGGACGTTGAAGCTGTGTAGTCGGCTGTAGGAATTTCTACTGGATATTAAAGAAAAAATCTAAACGTTTGTGTAGCATATATATATATATATATATATATTCATTTATATATATATATAAATAATGTGAAACTAAAAACATATGTCATTTGTAACATTTCACCATGTAAAAAAATATATTGAACACAACATAACACAGCACAATAAACATATCTATCATAAATAATGCAACACATCTGTAGTACAATGTAATATATATATATACATATACACGCATATGTCTGTGTTTGCGCCACAGTAGATGAAATAACACATGTGATTAAAATGTCCTAGAATTTACCTAGAATTTAGCTTTCATCTTGATTCATACCGTGTACAATTTAGACTAATGGTCAAGCGAATTAGGGCAGGCCTCTCCCCACAAGGTGGAAGAGTGGGATGATCATCCCAGATGGATGATGCCAAGAAAAACAGGTGAAACCCAACCAAAAAAGCTCCAAAAATCGCAGCTCCTTGAGCCGGGTTTCCAATGTAACCAAGTTAGGCCTTCCTCAGCCGGGCCCTAACCAAAAAAAGCCACACAGCCACAGCTAGTCCCAGTCCTGCGGTGCCCCCAATGGAATCCTGGCAGGATCTAACTGATCCAGTTGCTGCGCGATTTGCTGCACTTGGACAGTTGAAGTTCAAAAATTGGTATCACCATAATGAGTTAACTCCCATAAGTTGGGATATAACCCCTATGATCCCCTGCCCAAGCTACTGCCCCCAAGATGGGACAGTCTTGGATCCGGAAAACTGGGTGTACCATGGTATACCTACCTGCAGGCCATGCTTGAGGGTAGTTGTTATAAATTGTTTGTTAAAACTATGTCACGTGTACATATCTATTGTCTATCATATATATATATATATATATATATGCATTCATATATATATATAGTCAAAGACGGGTGGTAAGAAGAGATTTTTCTGCCTACCACACCCTAAAATGCCTAGATTCTGGCACTTTTGGGGAAAATCCTGGATTTCAGGGGTGCAGTAAGCACAGAGTAAGCAGTTTCCGGTTTTATCATCAAACCATCAACAATGAAAACTGCTTACTGCACCTTTGTTGAGAGTTGAAACACGCTGTTGTGATTGCACATTTAATCCTCATTATCTAACCTCATTTATTTTGCATCCTGTTTCATGAACCTATGTATGTATGTATGTATGTAGGATAAATGAGGATAAAATGAGGATATAAATGAGGATTTGATGAGGATTTGATGAGGATTTGATGAGGAAATGAGGATAAAACGAGGATAGAATGAGGATTTGATGAGGAAATGAGGATAAAATGAGGATTTGATGAGGATTTGATGAGGAAATGAGGATAAAATGAGGATTTGATGAGGAAATGAGGATAAAATGAGGATATGATGAGGAAATGAAGATAAAACGAGGATAAAATGAGGATAAAATGAGGATTTGATGAGGAAATGAGGATAAAAAGAGGATAAAGCATCCACCAAACGCTTTCTGCTGCAAACACCTCAAGAAGTGCCTGCCTGCGCTTTTTAGTGAAATTTCCAAATCATTTTGTACTGTATATGCAAAATCTGATCCCCTATGTGTGTGTAAATATATTTATATATTGCCAGGGGTGGCCAACCTAGGTGTCCAATTCGAAAAGGTTTCTTAGATCTCAGCGCTTCAATGTGCATTGCCTACAGTTCCATGGGGTGTGGGGAGGGCGGCGAGAACACCAATGGCCGGTTGCTGATCATCTACATGCTGTATCATTTCCGGAAGGGCACCCCTCTTCTAGCGCACGAGAATGTGCCAGGATTTGAGACGGAGAAGATGAAGGACACTGCAGAGCAGTACGGCTACAGGTGTGTTTCTATCTGGTGCAAACCTCACTGGCGCGTTGGCGGAAAAGCGACTTGGGTCCAAGTCCTCGAGCCAGCTGTTGTTGGGTCGAAGTCCTCGAGCCAAACCTTTTCATTATTTTTCCTTGTTTTTGCAATGTTTTTCATCACTTTTCATTGTTTTTTCAATGTTTTTCATCAGTTTTCATTGTTTTTTCACTGTTTTTTCTAAGTCTTCATTGTTTTTTCAATATTTTTCATCAGTTTTCATTGTTTTTTCAATGTTTTTCCAATGTTTTTCATCAGTTTGCATTGTTTTTTCATTGTTTTTTTCAATGTTTTTCGACAAGCAATATGTACATATCTATACATATAACTTTCAGTGCAGTAAGCAGAACCCACCTTTCTGCCTACAGGGCTGCCACTGGGAATGGATC